GTGCCCCTGCGTGCTAACATTCTCTAAGCTTTAAGCATCAACAAGTGGCTAGCAGCGGCGGTCGCTCTCTGTGAGAGCACCAACGTGGTAGGTGGGACGAGGTGGCAGGCGGTTGGATTTAAACATATCCGCATCTCAATGCCGCGTATATCTATACAGCTGAGTTTTGCTCCTATCTCAATTCTGATTGTTGTGTCTGTGTGCTTAGTCAGGCTCGTCGCTCTTTTAGTGCTCCCCAACGTGAGCGACGTGGTGAGTTTTTCTATCCAATTGTTGTTTTTGTTGATTATCACATTTTGCTTTTTGTTATTGAATTTCTCAAGTCGTTTTCTGCGCGGTCGGTCTGTGACGCATGAGCAAAAATTCAAAAAGGAATATACACAGATGGTCAAAATAATAGGTACACTTTCATAACTTGATTTTTTTTTAAATTTTTTGTTATTATTATTTTTACCTTACCTAAAAATGTACCAAATTATAGTTGCAATAAAAAAACACAAAATGCTTCAACGCATTAAAAATGATAGAACAAAATAATAAGTATATCTATTAACAATTGTTATTGGAGTCTTTTTGAGCTGCCTACGAATTTGACCAGAGCAGTTAGCTTGAACAAAAATAGTAATTGGTCCATGGCTTGGGCTATGGATCGAAGACGAGCTTCTGTTTCGTCGAAGGTGCAATAAGTGTTTAGACCCATTTTTGAACCTTTTCTTTGCTATTTATTTGTACTAAATAATATAAAGTGATGAATATAGTGGCTAAGCAAATAACGCATTGCTCCAAAGTACTCAAACTCTGCGCAAATCGCCAGTTTATCTTTCTTACAACGAATATAAAAAAATTTGAATTAAATTTAAACAATTTTTGCGCATGAGGAGAAATACTGTAATTATTACTTTGACCATTTGAGTATCAATATACGCCCCCAGCTGTAGTCCCCCAAACTTTGGCCCAGCTCTGCAAATATCTCCGCTCGCTCATTCGTACGTTTGTTTGTTTGTTTGCCTATTTGTTAGTTTTGGCCAAGAGAGGTAGCTGCCAGCTGAATATACCAAAGGGAAAAAAATCAGCTGGTAATACGCAAATTTAATTAATATTACTTAATAAATTTTGTGTTTTTGTTTGCTTTTGATATTGACACGGCAAACAGGGCGACGTGGAATATTTTTCAGCCCCTTCTGCACCATATAATTAAGTTTTAGTTTTGCCCCAGCAAATATGAGCTTGGAAATAAAAAAAATGCAAATGAAAAGAAAAGAAAAAACACAAAATGAAAACAAAAACCAACCAATGAAATTGCAACGTGCCTGAAATTACAAAATACAAATCAACACGGAACAACACAGACACACACACACCACAACGACTACACTACTGTAACGCAATGCATTTTTGCGGCAGGTAGAAGTTGGAGCTGCAACGCGTTGCACTTACGCAGCAAACCGGACAACTCGCTGACTGGACGACGCTGCCGCCTAGTTGAGCTCTAAAATGCCGCGACAACCCATAATTAAAGCTACATCGAGCATTTACAATGCAGCCAACTTGAGCAGGAACAATAACAGCAACAACAACATAGCCACAACTAAGAAATTGTGAATTCCAAAGCAGTAGATCGGATCCTTCAGGCCACTGCAATCATAAAACTTAGGCGCGATTTTTTTAAACACAAAAACAGGGGCATATAAATGAGTGCTTCAAGCGAACGTTGGATAAGTTGCCGTCCAATATTTCACTACTTACTTATAAAAACTGAAGAAACAATCGGCGAATATTTCTCCGACTACAGCGAAACTATAAAGTATATCTTTGCATCTATCTATCTATTTTCGTAACTATACTTACTCTTTGTTTTATCATGTATCCTACAAATGAAGCACCAAACTGCTCAATAGCTCATTATCTACAGCTTCAATACTTTTAAGAAACTTTTGAGTTACACTGGTCTGAACACCCCAATATAGTTTTAATTTGGGTTCCTGTATATTGCAATATAAGCGAAAACAAAAATCGTGATGCGACAGCGGCGGTTAAATAGCCACTTATTTCCCAGGATAATGATTACATCCCAAAGAGCATTAGATTCAGAAAATCCTTCGCTTAGAACACTTAAAGCTAGCCCACAATCACCTTTTTGGTCCTGTCACAAACACAGACATCTGCAAATTCTACAACACCAACAATCTTGCATCAGTAAAGCACACTTTATCGGACTGCCAATACTTTAATAGTAATATGCAGCAAGTAACCCATATACCTCTCTTTTTAGGCCGTCTAAACATTTAATCAGATTATATCATTATTATGTAAACTGCTCGATATTCACATATGTATGTGAATGTGCTTTTCAAATCATTTTTATTTCAACAAATTACCCTATTTAAATAAACTTCATAAAAAAGAAGAAATAAATTTAATATACAAGCAATATGTATATACTTATATACAATTAACAACAAACTAAGGAACAACTTTGAATATTTTGTTAGTACAAGCATTCGTACCTGGACTCGTTAGGCTTCTCAAATGAATATGTACATATTTTTCCCTTTTGTTGAGACATTAAATCTGTATTTTGCAGTATGTATTTCCAAAACTCTTTTCATACTTTTACCAAGCAATTGTGTTTGATTTGAAATTTTGTTGTTTTTCATTTCAAATTGATTATTTTAGCACTTTATCATCGAGAGTCTTTTGTGTTGTCGAAACTAGTTTTTAACACATTTCGCATATTTTTATAAATTATATGAAACACTCACAAATGAGCAGCAGAAAGCGCGACAGCGTCAAGTGCCTGAACACAACGGCTTCCAGCAATAACAACAACAACGACCGCAAAACTCAAAACAAAATCAAAAAAAAAAAAAAAAACAACAACAATTCATTTTTCGTGTACAAGCTTTGAAAACTTGTTTGGCATGTAAGATTATTGAACAATTAATATGGCAAATAAAAAGCGCGCACATTTTTTTTAATAGGAAATATTCAGTACCTCTTATTATTTTTTTTGTTTGTTATTTATTTAATTTTTGTTTACTTTGTTAAGCACGCAATGTTTTTTTCTCAAATGGAGTGAGTAGAACAGAACGGAAATTTTCTGTTTGCAACTCTTGCATGGGTAATTCTAATTGTAAGCCTAGCTCACGAGACTTTATTTCATTCAAGTGGAATCTTTAACTATACGCAGCAGCTTCAAAGCACAAAGAACGTATGACGGATAAGAAAATGCCGGCGGGAACTCGGTAATCGGGCTACTAATGAACAATTTTGACTCGTTAGATACCCTTTGTGCGTCTGGCATGAACATTTTGAACGTTTAAATGAAAGCATATAAGCGTATATCTTTATTTGGTATATAACATATTGGAGTTCCACCTCAAATTACTTGAAAACTAGCATAGTAAGGAAAATATTTGTATGGAAATTATAATTTTATAACTTTACGTAATATTACGTTTATACTGAATGCTCAGATACACTTCGATTGTAAAGGGTATTAAAGTTTCAATGCAACCGAAAATGTTTCAATTGCTGTGAAATGAAGACGTTATGATTGCTATCTCTTGAAGAATTTTCGACTTTGTGTTGTCGCAACTACAATTTAAAAGTATGCGCAGTATGCTGCAGATATAGCGTTATGAAAAATCCTCCGCAAGTACAGGAAAGCAATGCAAAAATAAAAAGTATTTTCCAGATATACATACATATGTATAGTATTAATATATTTGATTGGACATTTTTAATGCGCGTTGTAATCCGCGTTAAGGGAATAACATAAATTGTGCAATTGCATTAGAATGCAGAATGCGTTTTCGTTCAGTGTAGCTTCAGTGCAAATACCAGAGCACACGCAACAAGCATTTAAGAGTCACACTGAGCGTCTGATAGTGTACAAACAATCGCACACACACACGCACACCCACAACTATTGTGCTCTGTCAAGTCGTTGATCCGTATGACAAAGCCCAGACTTGCCTTCTTGACGTGCTACTCGTATCACTGATATCTCTGCTGCTGTTGGGGCTGTTCATTTTGCTTCATTGCTTGGGGTTTGTGGGGTGCGTGGGGCAGAGGCTATATTGTCGACTCAACTCAACTTAACTCAACTGTCAGATAATTTGATGAGCGCTGCGTTGCGCTGCGCTGCAATCAAATCACTGAGCTGGGCTTTTTCAATATGCGAAAACAAAACTATTAAAGTGGATAGACGAGTTCCAACCAGCGCCAAGCGTGCTGATAAAGCGGTTTGCGCTGGTCGCCTCACACAAGAGCCACAAGACATGCTGCAGGAGGGGAAGCAAGAGAGTAAGAAAGAGAGAGAAAGCAACTGTTAAACGAGCTAAGAAGTTTTCTTCGATTGCTCCGGGGCTATATACCCTTCATTCTGGCTTGTGAATAAAACATTATTTTCTAGAAAAGAACATGGGCTGATTTTTGTGCGGCACACGCGTATGCATGTACTCCCAAAATGGACCAATAAATACATGGCCCTTGCCTCTATTGCGAACTAGGTACATATACATATATATACATATGTAAGAACACCTACTGTCTGCTTATTATATATTTTCTTATTTTAAACATAACAACATTCTCCATAGGCAGTTTCCTTTGGATACTTTTTATAAGTACTTAATAGGTTTTTAAAGTTATATGTTTTAATGATATCTGGCATGTTCAGTCTCGAGTTATAATCTGTGTCTACCAAAAAGAAGGCTCAGTACAATGTTTACGCCTAAAACGGAAGTCCCTAACCGTTTTCAGAGAAGAGTATAGAAAGCATGGAGATGAGATGAGTCAGTAACGCATTTGCAGCACATCAGCATACAATTTGTAGCCAACGCTCATGCATTGACGAGGCAAGTTTAAAAGCCCTTTATATAAATAACTTGCATAAACTTAGGCAAAAACTCTTAAAAATAGCCCAAACTATGGCCAACTTAAAACAATAGCAACAACTGCATCGACAACAACAAAGAGGCGCAAATCAAACTTACCGTCCACTGCACACGCCCCGGCCCCACACAAGTTCAAGGGCAAGCGCACGCGACTGTGTTTGTCTGCGTGCTTCGTGTATTATACTGGGGTTTTTATGCACGTCCGCTTCTTGCATGCAAAAGAACTTTCATTTTCCAATTGCACATGTACTTTTAGTATGTATGTGTGTGTTTGTATGTCTGGCTAAGCCCCTCTGTTGGTATTACGGCGCCGTATTTCCTTAAGTCCCTTGCAAATTGCAGCGGGTGATTAACTATTCTGGCACAGGTAGCCGTAGTTTACAAAAAATAACAAGCATAACAATTGCGGTGGGCAGGCAGGTATTGTACACTTGTTTATAACACGCACTTTGTGGGCGGGCGGCCGTTTCGGGGGCTTGTTTTAAAAATAGAGAATGGTTGGTGTAACACGCGCCATTAACGAATTTTTCACACGACAAAGTATATTAGGGAGTTATGTTTGTGTACTGCTTTGTACCAACGAAATGTTAACCAGATACATGTGGAGACTCTTTGGCTGGCGGCTGGCTTTGTAAATTAATTAACAGCACACACACGCACGCACATTAAAGCGCAGTCCGCAGATAAGCAAAACAATTCTTTATACATATGTATGTATGTACTCTTTTAGCAACAATATTTAATTTACGCTCTGAAAGAGGGGTAGTAAATTCACCACACACACACACCACACAGCAACTGACAAAACCGACGTAAGCGCACGTTTTTTTTTGCACAAAAATGCAAATAACGGCTACAAGTTGCTCGGAGTTAGTAATTTTTTGGGATTTAGTGAAGTACAGTTTCAGTTTGTAGCACGGTTTGTAGTGTTCATTAAAATGGTATTTATTTAAACTTAATATAATTAAGAAATATAGAAACAACGACTACGACACCACGGCGTACGAAGCGCAACAACAAATGAGCGCAAACCAGAAGACTAGAGGTGGCCCCGCTGCAAAAGCTTTTATATGAACGATAGAGATGGGTGTATGGAGCCTACTTAGGGGACATACTCACGAAAATAACACGCATCTAAGTAGATTTTGTATTCAATTTGCAAGTACCTAGAATGTTTTTTAAAAACAACATATATAACTTTTAGTGCTTTAAAAATATCAAGTCGTTATATTAAAACAACATTTTCTATGATTTTAAGCCTGGCTTATGCAACACAGTACACATCGTTATTAAGCAGTGCTGGTAAGCGTTGCAGAGGCGCTTATTGAACAACAGCTGCTTATAAACACATAGAATTGCCATACATATGTTTGTAAACAGTTTTTATTATTATAATTTTCTAAATGATTAAGCTATCACAGCATGGGGAGGCTCGCTTTCAGTGCATCAAATTCATTACGTGCCAAAGGTTTTAGGTGTGTGCCCGAAAACGGAGACTTAAATTCCATGTCCCGATGCTTATTTACAAGCACTTTTTGATCTGAGTAAATCATATTTATTTGTTGATCAATTTGCTGCTGATCTGCAAGCACATAATATAAATATGTATATACTTTACGTTTTCTACTTACATATACACATATGTATGTATATATACACATAAGTACATATGTATATATGTACATTTCCTTACCCTTTTTGAGAAGCAGCACGGCTTTGTCACGTTTCATTTTTACGAGCATGCTACCAATGGTAATCCATACTTTCTCGTCGTTGCTCTTCTCCATGATACGTAGTGCCTCGCGTGTCTCCTGACGACGCTTGTCCATAATCTGTAAGACACGGGGATGGTTTTTTGTGTCTGCCAATTTACCAAATTGCTTAACTTACAGTCAGCTCATGTTTGTTTGATAAGATTTTGTCAGCGAGTTCTTCTGTTTTGGTTATTATTTCAACGCTCTTCTGTAGATCGGTTTGCGACATGTTTTTGTTATCAGTAAGCAAGGTAATTTTTAATGAAAGTTAAATGTATAGCTGATTCCGAAAAATTGTTCACCACCTGTCTGTAAACAAAGCTACTCAGCTTGTAGTCTGGCAACTCTAACAGCTGTGCGTACATATTCAACAATTTGTGCTGGCATTTTTAGCCAGTTCGCATAATCTTTGATTCGAGGGGTTGTCAGTTTTAAACAATAAACATCACAGTAATTTCAGTTATCAGATGCGGACTATCAGTTATCTGACACGCACAATTTAAGAACAAAAATTACAATGGCGCCGATTAGCAACCACAAAAACTATTATCTACGTTCCTCCTGCATCTTTGTCGTCCTCTGGATGTGCGTTCTTCGGCCGGTGACTGCAGCAGCCGTCTCTGAGGTAATACTAATGTGGATAGAGTTGGTTTTAATATAAACCTAATTACAATGCAACATATTTTTGTGCCAAATGCGACACAGATGATTTGTCTTATTTATTGATTTTTGTGACGTAGACACTCCTCATGGACTTTTCTAATACACATACATACATATGTAGCTATGTACATATGTGTGTCGCACAGCTTAACTAATCTGCTCATTAAATATTGCAGAATCAAAGTTCACAAAGTTATCTGGTGGATTCCAATGGCGGTTTAAGTCACGAACGACTGCAGCAATTACTTAGAGAAGCTGGAACTGGCGAAGTGAGTTGGCCCCAACGAGCTAAACAGGAAGTAATTGACGTTCAATCGGAAATCTCTAAATTAAACACGAGTAATATAATTTATTATAAGTAAAAGATTTGAATGACTTGCTCATGCGCATTTATTCACAGCCTATGTCTACCAAAGCAACTGGCCAGCAAATAACGTTAAATTGGGAGCCGTTACTGCCGTCAGCTTTGACAAGGCCGGCAATGTGGTTATCTTCCATAGAGTAGATCGCATTTGGGGCCAGAGAACATTTAACGAAAGCAATTACTATACAGAGACTTATAAGGGCCCTATCAGAGAGAATGTTGTGTTGGGTTTGGAGAGCGCGACCGGCAAAGTAATCTATGAGTGGGGCAAAAATTTGTAAGTACGATCAAATGACTCTCATCTCATTTTTTAAACATATTCTATTTTTGTCTTTAAGCTTCTATATGCCTCATGGGTTGACCGTGGATCCGGAGGATAATGTTTGGGTAACTGATGTAGCTATGCATCAGGTCTTCAAGTTTGCAGCTCGCGGTGCCGGAAACAAACCGCTACTAACGCTTGGCAGTGCTTTTCAGCCGGGTACTAGATCAAAATTCTGTAAGCCCACTTCTGTGGCGGTGCTAGACAATGGCGATTTTTTTGTGGCGGATGGTTACTGCAATGCTCGGATTTTGAAGTACTCCAAATCGGGTGAATTAATTCTAACTTGGGGAAAGAATGCCTTTTCCGGTGTTTCCTACGATGTAGCGCCGCAAAATTATTTCGCTATACCGCATGCACTCACACTGGTGCCGGAGTTGGAATTGCTGTGTGTGGCAGATCGAGAGAATGGGCGCGTCCAGTGTTTCTACTCGAGCAATGGAACTTTTCACTCACAATACCACAACCGAGTTATAGGCGATCGTCTGTTCAGCATGGCCTATACACCAGCTGCGGGTAAGTTGTGCTTTTTCCCTCCGGTATACTATCAGAAGCTTTCACAATGCATGTATATCCACAGGTGGCGAGCTAGTTATTGTCAATGGACCCACCGCAGAAATGGGCGCCAATCCAGAACATTATAATGAGGTCCTTGGCTTTGTTATGGATATGCGCAGCAAAAAGTTAGATTCCAAATTCGGGCCAAACAATTTGCAGTTTGATAATCCACACGATGTGGCTGTGACGACTGACGGCAATGTGATTTATGTGGCCGAACTAAATCCAACGCGTATCCACAAGTTCGTGCATAAATCCTTAGCTAAGCCCATATCTCTGTCTGTACCGGCAGTTGACAAATTGTCTGATTCACTGAAAACTGTGGCTGCTGAGAACGAAGACAGCGCTTCAACGAAGTCCCATAAACATCCGAGTGGCACAGCCATATTGGTTGCTTCCCTCATGCTGCTCTTTGCCACGTCTACGTTTATGTTGGCGCTGATCATGGCACGTCGACGCAGGCGAGGTAATCAAGCTATAACTACCACCCCGCCAAGTGATTTAGTTTACCGTAGGCTTGCTGCCTCTAATCAAAGCTTATGCTGATGAGATACACTATATATGCATTTGACTTGCCACAAAACTCGCACAATGTACATATATTTATGTATATACATATACACATATATATATAGTTGCCTTAATTGTGAAGTTTTGTTTGTGATGCCGTCCGTACTTTCTTTGCAACTTTTTAATTAAGTTTTATTTTAAAATTATCTTTTCTATCATTCATATTTGGCATGTTTTGTACTTATTTTAAAAAATGGTTCTGCTTCACCATTCACAACGCTTAGTTACAAATTATTCCAGTAAGCTCACATTTTGTATACTGATATTAATTTAGTAATAATAAAATACACATATCCGTTTTATATATCTATGTTTAAAGATGTTTTGTTGTTTTCGTTTTCAGTGAAAAAGTAAATGTTCAAAATTGTTATCGCACGTGAGAGTCTTATAAGAAAGGTTTTCTTTTTTATGTAAATCATCATTTGAGCACTTAACTTATTAACAAAACTGAAACTTCAACAGGTTGCCTGCCGTTTGGAACACATAATCGACGACACCATGCCTGGGAGAAGCCTGAGGGCTTTAAATTGGGCGGTCTGCTGGACCGCGGTGGCTTTGAAAAGCTTGACCAGAATGCCAGTGACGATGAACAGGAGACAACCACACTGTCAAGCGCGCAGTTTGCTTAACCACGTGCTTACGGAGCGCGACTCTCTACAGGACCAAGACTTATATAAGACGAACTTAAACATTCCTAGCTCTAATGACCCATACCTCAGCGAATTTAATCAGTTCTTTATGTTCGGGCTCAACTCAATTTTGATGTACCTATACAAACTGTGCTGTACGTTTTAACCATTTAGTTAATGTCTTTTTAAAATATGACTGCTTTTTTAACTACTTTGCCAAATATTTTATGTACAAATATTGTTTAAAGTGCAATAAATGCATTTAAAAAGAAAACATTGACATCTAATGGGGATTTGGATATATTGCACAATGTATTCGGAGGTGTATTGCATTGATATATTTTTTTCTTCATGTAATTACGTCAATCATTCGTAGTATACATATTCAAGTTGGAATAGCTCGTTCCAGCGTCAATACTTAAAAAGTATTCTGTATAAATATGTTAATGTATATTGCATTTTTAAACTAATAAGGCCCCTATCTGGCAATATCCTTGCAAGGTTATTTTCGTCGATGATGAATTCGAGTAGCACTCTAGACAACTTCTGCCAGAAATCCTTCGTTCTCCTCCGTTACTATTGCATCGATGTTGTAAAATATAGCGTGACATGCAATTACAAAGCATGAGGCGCCCAGCGTCCAAAAAAGTACCGAACCAGCACCCACTAAGAACAGCACTGGGGCCGCTGTCAAATTAACTATCAATAATTGTTGTTTCGGCGTTATTTCCCGTCCGACAGCTGTGATTGTCCTGTTGCCTGTACGAATCTTATGGCAAGCATAAGCAGCGCCGGCTAATACTAGCAATATTAATGGCGACGTAATGCTACAAGAAACAACAAAAGTATATATTGATGAACCCATTTAGATACATAAGTGGTACGCCTCAGGCATTTTGCTACTTACAGACAATATATCATTAACACAATGAAGACAAATATGTAGTTGCTTTGGAAATATGTAAGATTCCGAGAGACACGATTGCTTAGACGTGGCATGCTGGGGGCGGTCTTAAAGTTTGACACATTGAAGAACACCAACCACGGTCGAAGAGATTCACGCACCATTTGTACCAATTCCAGAGGGGAAGGCAGATTCTGAAGTCTAGGTAAGCTGCAGGCACCATCATTATCACATAAGCCGTGTAAGCAGTTTCAATAACTTACCTCTGTAAATCGAAGGAAAACCTGTTGCTGGTCCGGCCACCTCCTGATAATACCCGTGCTGGAGGTGGTTGCGAGTCCATGTCGCCGCTAATGTCTATTTTAGTCGGGTCCATTGCCGCGTTATTTGTGATAATGACACGTCGCTGACGTCTTCAGATAGATGGTATGTGAATGTTTGCGTTAGGTTCTTGAGTGCAGCTGTGCAGCTTCTTGCTATCCGAAGTCGTCTCGCTAGCGTAAGAAAATGTTTTATCGTGCTTGTGTTTGTTGTCGTTGTTGTCTTTCGTGGGAATACTACGAGTGCAAGAGATCTGACGTGTTAGGTTGAGATGTTCAGCCGTGCACAACGAATAGCCGTTACATGAAGAGGCAGAGACGTGCGACGCGGCAATTTTTAAATTGAGACACCAAATTTTTGAAATTACTCCTACTGTAATTTGTTTGACATTTTTCCAAAAACTAATTTACAGATTTCAAGTTGGCTTCCCACAAAAATATTTGTTCTGCTACTGTTGCCACTTGGTGAAAATAAGTATTGGCGCTGCTGCATCGAATTGGCGTTGTTCAACACTTTCGCCATGGGACTCTTTTTGAAACTGATGGAATATGAATAAAATGAAAATAAAATACTTGGGTTTTTTGAGGCGCCTTGTAGTAGTTTAAAAGCAAGGAAGAACACCTCACACATTTATTCCACATTTATAATAACTGTATAGTAATATATTAAATATTCATAATACACTTTAAATTTTAGATACATCAATACAATAATAATCTTTTGATTTAGTTTAATACTTTTTAGTATATGTATGTAGCTTTAAGTCGTTTTTTCAATGCTGCGATTTTGTTCAGGGTATTTCTTCTGGTATGTATTCCATTAAACTGGTAATAGTTTTTGGAATACACAAATATATCGTTTAATCACATCTATAGATAGAGCATATTTGTCTGAGTTATTTTCATTTATTGTTTTTACACTGAAACACATTTATATGTTTATTTGTATACGTAGACCGGTTCACATATAAATAGACAGTAATATACATGTGTACATAGATCAGCTTTTGAATATTGTTTTTATATTAATCGTAATAGTCATGCTATTTAATAGTTTAGTTCAAGTTAATGCATTTTGTGTGTGCAGTAAGTTGTTTAAGAAAATACGGAAAGTTTTACGTTGTACCGTGTACCGTGAAGCCGTCATATTAAGCAACAAATCAATTCGTGTACACTGTATATTATGAGATACTTTTATGCTCCTTATCTGTATTAGCATTGGGGACTTCTTACATTAAACGTGAATGCCTCAAAACATTTACATACATACATATGTATGTATTTTATATATTTTTTGTTTTGTAGCGTTTTTCTTGCACTGCATCATGTAAGTACATTTAGTCGTATTAAAAACCTGTTATTTTAAGTTGTAATACTTAGTTGCTAATCCTTTTCAACCGATCCAAAGCTGTTGTTATTGCCATGCATTAAGCATTTGATGGGAGGGCTCAAAAAAATTTTCGGCGTTCTAGGTAGCTGCCTTTATGTTCTGCTTATTGAATTCAAAAATAAACATTTTGTGCCTATTGCCACTTGCACATATTTAATAACTGTAATACATTTACACATTATTAATATTATTAATATCTCTTTGATTATTTTTCGCAGATGACTGCACAAATATATTGGTAGTAATATGTTAATATGTGGTAATATGTTTCTAAAACTTGTATGTATACATTAATATTTTGGACATTTATTTCATTGTTGCTGCTTGCTGTCTTATTTCTATTTCCAATTACATTTACATATATGGTTCAAAAATTACGGGTTATTATTTATTTATTTAGTAGTTGAAGCAAATGTGTGGTGTCTACCGTCTTGGATGAATTCAATCATTCAAATTTTGACTACCAATCCGATACTGAAATGCATTGTAGCATGTGTGCATGTAGCTTTGTTGTTTTTCTTCCCTCTTTTAAAAATTAATTCTAGTTTGTTCTTCAACTCTGCTGCAATTTTGACATTAGAGCCAGCAACAGTAAAATTCATCGAAATTTTTTTATTTTTCACTTCATTAGCTGCTTATTTTATTTTGAATAAAATATTTATTTGATTTGCTAGTTCAGCATTTGTTCTGTTGTTGTTTTTTAAAGGTTTTGTTGTTGTTGTTTTAAAACGCACACAAAAAACGTTAGGAAAACTGCTGCAAATAAAGTTTAGAAAAATACTTGTTGGTTCACTCTATAGCCCGATCTCGCGCATGGCGCTGTACAAGCAAGGATTTTTTAAGCATTCGCGTGGACCCAACTGTGGGCCCGGTGTGCCTCGTAATATCATGAGCACGGAACGTGCCGCTGCCTGGCAATCGTTGTTGCTGCCACACACACTGTCTGCCTCGGCCAAATACTGATAGTCACATGCCACTTGGGAGGCGCCCTGAAATTCAGATGCAGACAATTTAAGTTACCGAATCATTGAGATTTATAATTGAATCGAGCTGTACTTACGCAGAGGTAACAGATCTGATGGACACCGCACAGCGGTAACAGCTCCTGATTGAGATCGCCGGATATTAAATCTACTCCACGACAACGCTCGGCCATCGATTCGATCATAGGGCATTGATTGGAGCCAATAATATAGTTTTTGTTGCCCAGATAGGCATCGTTGAGCGGCTCAAAGGGCGAGTTTGTCAATGCGTCTTCCATTGTATTGGGCTGCTCTGGATAGCGTAAGTAACCGCCCCGTTTCTTCATCTTTTTGACATCAGCATCACTGTTTTTCGAAACAGATTCCCTATGAGGACATGTTAAGAATATTACTTTTCAAAATTAAAATCACTAGAAATGTACCAAATTAAAAAAAATTATGTGTAATAAAATTAATTGGGGTCATCGCCAAAGGCTGAATAATTCCTGAAATGCACGGCTGGCCTATAATACGGGTTTAAAGCTATTTTCTAATTCTAAGCCTTTTGTGAAGACCCGGAATATTTCATTAATATCATTTTTAGGTTTACCTTGAGTGGAATGACAAATAAAATTGGAGTTGACACTCACTCATTATCATCAGCCTGATCTTTCTTAACGCTTAGGCGTTTCTTCGAAGTCCAGTAATTGTCGACAGTATTCTCCTCCGATTCCGGTTCGATAACATTTCGCAGCAAATGGTTTTCATTCTCAACAGACTGACGGAGCTTCTCCAGTGCACGGCGCATCTTCTCCAGACTGTAGGCAGTGGCCAAACGTGAGAGCACATGATCTTTAAGCTTGCGTATTTCATCCTGATTGGAGATGCCTTCATGTGCCCCAGTATACTTGATAGTCTCATCGATGATAAAGTCCTCGATGGACTGCAACTTTTTGTCCATGCTCTCTAGTTTCTCGGGATTAATATCGCGGCGTTTTTTCTTCTTCTCAGCTTCGTTATCAACATTTTCATTGCTGTTGTCGGTGCTGCTGCGTTTTTTAATTTCCGATCTACAAGTATTTATGACATGAAAAAACCGACTAGAAACATTCTTTTGGATGCTACTAGTTCTTGCACTTACTCTGTCTCCTGGACGGACTTCTTCTTCCGGTCAAGGCCGAAGTACTGTGACCAATCTATGGATTTCTTGGCTCGCAGCATTAGATGACCGACAGTAGGTGAATGGACATGCTTTGAGTTCGCATCGCGTTTCTTTTTCTTGCGACGCTCTTCGGCATCCGCCTCATCATCCTCATCAAATTCATCGTGATCGTCTTCATCGGTGCTCTCCTCACCCTCATCATCGTGCTCATCATGTTCGCCGTGACCCTCATCCGAGCCCTCCTCCCCCGAGTGATGGGCATGGTCACTGCGTTTGCGATGCCTACGCTCCTTCTCCAACTCTTGTCCCTGCTCATGATGGCCGGCATGTCCATGTTGAGCAATTTCGCCCGTTGCAGCACCTGTCTCTCCCTCATTGCTCAGATTTACGCGCTGGAAGTTAATCTCTAGCCTCATGTCGCTTAGCGCCGTCGCCGTTGTCTCCGGCACATGAGTTGGTGCCACTGCACTGGCCTTGTCCGGTTGCTGTTCATCGGTGGAACGTTTCTTTTTCTCCTCATTGGCACTGCCAAAGAGTTCGCTCAGCTCCTGAGCAACCTTCTCGTCGGTCTTGCCAAGGGAGGAGAGTTCGGTGGTTGATCGTTTGGCTGCTCGCTTGGACACAGGGAACCGTTTCTTCTTGTCCGGATTATAGGGGAGCCAGGGAAGCACGGGATAGGCGGAGCGCTTCTTCTGCATCAGCAGATAGTATGGAGGCATGCGCATGCGCTTCTTTTGCTCGAACAACTCATCGTCGGCTATCTCGTTCTCCTGCTGCTGATATTTCTCCCAGAGATCTCGCAACGCTGCCTTGTAACGCTCCTGTCTCTCGTGCTCGCTGGCTTCCTCGATCTCCCGCAGGAACTGCTCGGTTAGCTCGCTGTGCGCATCCCCACTGCCCTGATTCTCACGCTCCCGGAACACAGACGTCGCTGGTGGCGGTCCATTATCTGCAATGGCAAGGCTTTTGTTACTATCGGTGTTTCCACATTAACCTGTTGACAGGCCACCCGATAATAAATCCAAGTAGTGCAATTAATTTGCCAACACATTGTCGACCATGTGAGTGTGTGTGTGTGTTTGGATGGGTGGTTGTTTTATATACAAGTATGTGTAGATGTGTGGGTGTGCTGCTTATAAACATGCATTACGTTTTCGTGAACCTTTTCCAAAGCAACGGCAGCAACGTCCATTAAATCAAATGGCAGGAAGGTAGTCAGGATGCCCTGGCCGATTCCAGTTGACTGCATACATCATAGTCTCTCTCTTACACACACAAACACACACAGACCAACGAACCTTAATCTAAGCTAAGTGGTTGAGGCGCTTTCTTTCGGCGTAAAAAGCATCGGCCACACACAAGGACTATACTTATACTCTCCACAAACATACTTTTGCGCAATCCATTTGGATTTGACTCAAGTGTCGTTTTTGCCGGACACACACAATACACATACACATACGCACACACACGCACACGCACACACTCACTCACCCACTCACTCATAGTGTTAGTTACTTACCGAATTGCTCGTCACGTTCCCTAAATAGGGAACTGCGCTTCTTCTTCTCATCGGAAAAGAGATTATTGTTGTTATGGCTCTGCTCATCATCAAACTCATAACCACCGAATGGCCCTAAGGATAATCCGCCATGATCAGCCTCATAGTTTTCACGTTCTAAGTACTTGGCAAGTGCTTTATTTATTCTATGGCGATTCCGATTTTTATTTTTGCCGCCGGTGCCAAATAATTCGCTATCTGGAAGTGTGCACGAAAAAAGAAACAAGAGAACCAAACGTGAACGGGGGGTCGGGCAACCATAGCGTATGGTGGAACTGTGCGGTTTGTGTGGAGGTTATGGTGCAGTGGTACGGTGCAGTGGTGCAGGGGGTGGTGCACGTGCGGTTTCTGTTGCGACATACAGATGCGGGCAGATCCCTTTTGTTGGTTTCAGTTACAATTTTACTTTGCATGCATTTGACAGCTTTTCGCGTGGCTTAACAAGCGACCAACCCACGGATTGACTTGCCGACTGATTGGCCCTATGTTTGTAGTAAGTATATACTATACATATACCCATATGCATGTATGTTTGTATGTATCATGTCGCAGTAAGTTAATAGCTTACATTTTAAGCTCGTTACATGTGCAAGTACTTTTTCTCTCAACATAAAAGTATGATTTAAATAAGTATTTGAGAAATACGAAATTTGCACTTTAAAATAAATTTTCTTTGCAGCAGTTTATGCTGCCAATAAGGTTGAAAAGAGATATATTTCTTAAAAACTCTAATACGCATCAAATAGTTGATATACGTATTAATATGTTTGTGTAATTTTGTCTGAAATTTTTCGATTTTCCTCTATGCCCATGGAAGTAAAATAATAAGTTAATTAAATAAATTAATTGAAATAGTCGCAAGATATTGGAACATCGGAAGAACCGCAGTTGTTAATGATCTCATGTTTGGTTGCTCTTAAAAATGTACACACGAATATGGCCAAGCAATTGCAATCTTTAAATGAAAAATCCGAACCTTTGACAATTTTCAAAGCAAAAAAAAACTTTAATAATTTAACAACAAAATAAACACACAAGGAATGGCAGGGTATTTAACATATTAAAGTGTTTCCATTGGAACGTCGAAAAGAAAACAAGCTTGACTAACAGTTTTTAGGGTTTTTTAAATCTTTTCAATTGGAATTTTTTGCAATGATTTGAAACAATTCAAAGAATTTGGCGCAGCGGAGTGAAAAACAAGCAAAGAGAATGTTTAAATGCTGCCATGTGTTCATTTTTTTTTTTTTTTTTTTGTACATCAAGTTCAACCTTATTTCTGACAGAAAATATCAAATTTTAAAACACCAACAAGAAAAAGTCGGCAATCGGAACAAATATGAGTTTCAAAATGTTTTCAAATAGAAAAGGAATTCAACTTATGTTCTTTAACAACTTTTTTCAATATTGTTCCTAAATTTATCTTTTGATTTACTGATTTATAAACGCGACAAGGGAAGTGGGTGTGCCATTTATCCTTAAACAATCAGCGAGACTTATTGGATTTCTCGTCGGTTATCTGCTTCCATTCCTTGCCGACTAGATTATATTAACACCGTTGTGACTTACCTTCATCCCAATCCTGCAGTTCACCGCCATAGTAATGCGGATACGCGGCAGACGATGCTGGCGGCGCATTCAAAGGATACTTTGCAGCCTCCCGCCGGTGCAACTCATCGACGGCCGCCTGCAGCGAGTAGGCAGCGCGTTGTGGGGAGGCTTGAGTGCCGCAGTAAAGCTGCAACAAGAGGATGCAGCATAGCAGGGCACCGAGGCCAGCAAATTGGCCTGGCATGTTGTTGTAGATTTTGCTGTTGTTGTAGCTGTTGATTAGACTTTTGCGCTTTTTTAATAACGACAAACGACTACGAATGGGCGGCCGCTTGAACTAACGATGTTTATATGAAGCTGAAAGGTAGAATAAAAAAGTACTGTATAAAAAGGATAAACGCATTAATAACATTTTATGCTCAGCACGTTTTATGGTGGCGAAAAAAGCTCGACAAACTTTTAATTACATTTCCGCTTTAAAGCGCAACGACTCTCTGGGTGTGTGGGTGTGCGTGTATGGGGACAGGTGTCGACTTACAAAATGGTGCTTGCTCAGTTAGCCCCTCACATTGGAGTGGACAGGTGTCAAAGCATCAGGTTGTCTGCCTAACATAATGATGTGTGAAATTCCATACCCATAGTCCTGCCACTTAATTATGCAAATGTCAGATGTTGGTCCACGGCAGTCCAAGTTCCATACATAATTATGCAAATTATATGACCTTACCTTGCGGTCTAACTAATCTGTTTGTAAGTGTGTGAGCCACAACCTTGGCTCAAAGGTATTTCAATTAAATATTTCGTCTTTTCGGCATTCATTGTACTTCCGCATTAATTTAAACGTATGCCCCACAGATAAATCAATAAAATTCCGATGTACGTATGCATATATTTAAGCAACAACAGCACAAACAAGTTGCTCAACTTCCGATATACCTTTTGTCCTCCGCAGCATGTCAGAAGCAGCAGAAGCAGAAGCCGAAGAAGAAGATGAAGATGAAGAAAGTAGGAAATTGGAGGGGAACAGACAGACAAACAGACAGACAGATAGCATGCCATGGCATGCGAACAAAGCCAAGTTGACAATTATGCGCTAAACTGGCGGAAAGAGCTTGGTGCAAATGCCTTCGAATATGACCGGCTCTCATAGCTTTTTATTGGTGTGCACATAAGTATGCCCCACATTCTTCAGCCATTTTTCCCTTTCGTTCATAACATAAGTATCGTGACGTCCGCAATGACGAAATAGCGTAGGGATCCAAGGCGATGAAAATTGTGGTTGCTAGGCATTGTTTTAAAACAATGGCGCATAACAGCCATATAATTATAATTTGATGGGACAAGGAAGAAATTATGCAATAAAGTTGTTTGTTTTAGGGACTCAATACTAAATAATCGTTGTTAATATTTCAAATATATTACTGAAAAAAAATAAGAATAGCTCCTTATAGTAGCTCCTATCTAATATTTTCATTCATTCATTCATCAAAAATATTTCCATTTGATATTTAAAGTTTGTATTAATAACACCACAATATTCCTACAACTGAAAAGGATCGAAGTTTCCAAAGTGATAGGGCAACGGTCCAATAGGCGGATACGTTGTCAGGCTTGATACACGAATTCCATTCAATGATTTCTAAAGAAGCCTGAGAGATGCTTAAGATGAGGAGCACCTTCATTGTTGTTGTCAAACACTCATTTGTCTAGGACAACACTTCTAAAATTATATCAGATTTACTTGGAATGTAGTAACATTGTGATGTGTCAACAGCCATCTTAAACAAAACTAATATATATTCAAAGCATAGCATAGAAAATTTTAATTTGGTTCAGCTTGGTCTTTGTAGTGTTAAGTTAAAATCTAAATGCATTTTGACTTTTAATCGAAAAACACTTGACAGAGTTTTGGCTACTGTTTCAGACATTTTTACTTTCCAAACTCATAAGCTATTATTACACATTATTTTCCACCATTACAAATGTGTGATGGTTGCAAAAATCCTTACCACAAAGGAGGATTTTAAGTTTCTTTTGTGCCTGTTGCTTTCACGTACAGGAAATTAAGCGACCATGGCTTTTAGTGTCGTTATTTATCACGTATGAAATTCTCATACGTGCCCACCCACTAAATTATACATATAAGCATAGAGGACTATGCATACCTTGCGGGCAAGGTATTCTTTTTTCTAAAGAATTTATGATAAGCACTGTGAAGCGTCATTAAACGTGAAGTGAAGGCAGTTGCCTTTAACCTTTAAGTCTTGCTGTCGTACAAACTGTTGTTGTTGTTATTGTGGCTGTTGCCACAGCTTTTTTTTATTATTTCTACTTGATTGCTTTTTGCTTAAGCAGCAACGTATGCTATTTGTTACTGCATCCAATAATCAAGTTATTGCTTGTATCCAACGATAATACAAAATGAATTACATAATTTAATACGATGCACAAATAAGGGGGATTTTATTTCTGATTTATATGCCTTATGTTCGAACCTGCAACTTGCAATGTGTATGGTGTTATGCAATAAAAGCATCTGTCTATAGACTCTTCTATGTCTGCCACGAACTTTATTTATGAGCAAACAGAGAAAGGCGTTGGTCAATGGTTCGCTGCCTGTTGCGCATTTGCTGAATAGCCGGGCGATACATAGAAACACATACTATAGATACGTGTGTATTTATATTAAAAATTGTTTAAATTTACTTGCCCTGTCTACAAATGATTGACTACATAAAAAGGCCAACATTGCTAATGAAATTTACAGCAAAATTCTGAATGCTAAGAAAAGCATATTTGAAAAAAATGTTGCCTACTTTTTGGTTGCCCTTTTTGCTTGAAGCGGAACAAAGCCGAAAACCCTTAGGGCGTTTGAAGGGGAGCCCTTCAATTAGTCTCAGCAATGCGGCTTGATTCAATTTTGTCATAAATTAGATGCCGTATTTCCATAACACCCCTAAAAGCAACGAAATTGGGCAAAATTGAATTGAGAAGCAGCCGCTCAGGCAGCGCAGGTCCTATGTCGAACCAACAACAGCCGCCGGCTATTGACCACATTGGCTGACAGGAAGACAGGACAAATGGGTCATACACACCCACACATAAAGCTGTGCATTGCTGCAAGTACAGTTATGCAAAACTGCAGCTGACAATTTTTGACAGAGACGCATACACACGTCGAAGTTATCAAATTTTCGTGGGAGCTACAATTAAGCTTTCAGCTAATTGGTTCCAGAGAAAACGTTTTGCCCTAAAGGACACATAAAGAAAATAACAACAACAACAGCAACAGCATCAGGGATACAATTTCCGCTAAAAGTCGTGAGACAGGTTGTAGTCTTTGAAGGCAACTTGTTTGACGTTACCGTCTACGTCTCGTTGAGTGTGCATGTGTGTATGTGTTTATGAGTGTCTGTATTTATTTACCGCTTTTGTCCCTCTTGGGTGCACATAATTTATTCAAAACATATTGCTAGGCTACGCCATCAATGACTCAATGCTGGGTACTATGAATGATTTCTCAAATTGAGCCAATTAGAAGAACAAAATTCAAGTTATTAAAAAAGAAAAAAACTCGACGTCATTTCTTTTGGCACACGCAACACCCACGCTTACCAACAAAACAAATCAATCGACGTCCTCAGCCTTTGCTGCTTTACTGTTCCACCGTAATTGTCAACTCAAATGCCACAGATATTTACACAAAATTATCGTATAAAAGACTTTAACGCGCACGTTGAGCTTAACACCAATTAGAAATATAAACTGAAGATAAGTTTTTCAGGAGCTCCGAAATACTATTGACACTTTTCACAACATGGCGTCAAAGAAGCGACGACACTGGCACTGGCACAATTTTAAAGACTGTGTTTGCTCAACCAAGACAGTATCAGGAGTGACATGAAATGCGCACTGCTTGAACATTTTATACCCGACAGCTGGCTCGGCTCGGCTCCTAACTGTTAAAGCCCACACATATGGCCAAGGACCGAACATCACCACCAGCACGAACGAGTCAAAAGTTTTGGGTGCATGTTTGTGTGTATGTGCATGTGTATGTGTATGCAGAGTAGAAGCTGTTGCTCGAAAAGCTTTTTTCATTGCTGTTGTTTTGGCGGTTTTTCAATAGCATTGCCAACATATATTATTTTATCGGATACACCAAAAATATTACAGCTGGTAACTTGCTGATGACAAAAAGCGAAATAAAGTTTTTAAAAAATAATTTAAAGAAGGCAGATTCAACATTTGTTGCAATATTGAACTGTAAACATGTTTTCTTTTATGCCTATCTGTATACTCGTACTGGTGTATAGGTAATTGAAACTGAAAAATTCAAATTTCTATTGAAAACAAAATATTTAATAAAAAACAAACAATTTTAATATAATCGACACAAACTTAAATATTCTACAATGAACTTTATTAAAAACTCATTCATTGCTCAGGCATGTTTTAAACTAATCATAAATACCTTTAATATTAAACTAATTTATAGCTAACGTCGATGTTTACGGATTAAACTTAACTGTACTTGCATTGAAATTGTGTTGCAGTTAATACTTCAGAATATCCGGGAACAACACGCAGCGCTCTTCGGGAGTCCTGAAGCGAAAACACGACATTGCGCATACGCCGCGTAGGCTGCAGCACACCTGTTATTGTTGGTATTTGTTTAGCTGCAGCTAGTGTGGCTTTACCCGGGCAAAGCCTCCCCTTAACGCAGATATTTTATCAAGGTCATATACAAATATCACAGTGCAGATCTAAATGCAATCTGCTCGATAGCATTACGCACTATTCAAATAAATATTATTTTAAAAACTCACCATTTCTCCAAGCTCTCGCATACAGTGCACCGCCCATTTTCACCACAATCCAAAGCCAAACACTTGCAACCACTAAGAAGCAATACAACACTAACTTTTCCATGCACTATTCCTGCGCCATTGAATACAAATTGCTGCTGCAACCGAAATCGTCCTTCTGACTACTCCGAAAGCTCAACGGCTCCTTTTGTATGCAGCGCCGCGCAGTCCGCTGCTGTTCATACGCTCCATTTGCACGCATGCACTGCGCATGTCCTGGACTTCAAAGGATTATATACAAGATATCCTTTGCATGTGGACAAATAAACATGTAAACGTATTTATGTACTACACATACTCGTATAGTATAGTATGTTAGCCCGACTCGAGCGCACTGCACACACCCACTACTAGAGCCCACCAGCCGTCCAGCTTGTGCATTTGGAAACTGTTGCTTCAAGTGGGGCACAGCTCTCAGCAACTGTTAGCCCCATCGCCAGCACCACCTGTTACACATGCACACACCCACACATGCACACACCCACACACGCACACTTGGTGGCCACTGATAACCACCGACCAGGGGTGGGCATTTTTGGGCTGTTGAGGGAGCTCAAAGCTTCATTTGCATATACTTCTATTTTGCGTGAGAAGCTGTCCAAAGTACCTGCTTATACATATGAGTCTATTGAAAATCTAGTTGACGTCAAACGAAACGAACAATCTCTGTGCAGTTCCGAAAGCAGCCTTTTCACTAGAAATGCAATACATAGAATGTCGCAGCAATACAGCTCACGCCCCTCACAGTTTTTTCCAGCGCGCTTTCACAAAAAATGGACAGCTTAATTCAAAAGTCCTTTCGCTGTGGGTGTGGCTTTTTAATGTCCGTGCGCTCATGTCACTAACATTTTACTTGAAAAGGTCAGGCAGCTCAACTGCAGACATCACTTTGTGGTCTCCTCTCTTAATGAATACTTCCCCATTGTTTAATAGCAATGATGGTCGTTAGTGATTTAAGTTGACAGTAAGATATCATTTAGTTTAAGCAAAAATGACAAATGAGAAAGGACCATAGACAGTCGAACTAGTATTTTCTGTTTAGAATATCGTAACGATGTCGATGGAATCCGTTAATCCCAAACAAAACCATCAACCAAGACGCATACTAAATATACAATAGATGTAGACGTATCATGTAGTAGGAAGCAATAATAACCGCAGAGTAACCCTCTGTTGATCTTTCAACCCAATCCATTAGCCTATGAACCGTCAATGGCTTTCTGCAATGTGACTAGGTCGATCAAGAACAAGACAGCCTTCGGAGGAACAGGACTGAGTTAAGCAAAAGTCTCGAGGTGGACTGTTGTTCCGCCAAGAGGCGAATGAAAGCGCGTCGTAGCTTTTAGCGACTGCCGAACCTTAGTTTTCAGTAGATTTTGATCTCCTTCACATGGAATGTGGATCAAGTCTACTGCAGGGGCCACCTAATTTGGGTACAAATTCTCGCTTCACTGTTAATAACAATTTTATATTGCAGTTCTTATTGGTGTTAAGAGGCTAGTTTCGAATGATTATACATTAATTTTCAGCACACTCGATTTCATTTAAGCCACAAGCACAATCTAATTTCATTCAAAAAGTGTGCCAAATACTACATACATCGTATAAAATGTGAATCATATTACTATTATCCGAATAGTAGTGTCGGGAATATACCTGTGTCATACATAGTATTCGAATATTGACCTAGGTAGGTTGTATAACCTGTTTTATATACAAATTAATATCATAATTGTATTCTTGTATAATTGTAGAAAGCATATTAATTTTATAAAAATCACTGCTTTATTGACCATTTTTGAGACTTTCAGCACATTCAATCAATGGAATATATACAAAATAAATATGTGTTATGCATGCAAATGTGTACGACAAATAAATGTAAGTTAAGAATTAAGTAAAGCTAGTCTACAACTAAATTCCTATGGTGTAAGTCATATATACGGATAGCGCGAAGCTACTAAAGCTTAGACTGGCAACAGAGCAACGATTGGTATTGGCAATATTGGCTTCTCGGCCTCACTTCTACAATTTACACCTTGATGAGGCCAAAGTAGCTGCGGTTATTGGCATCCTTCAGCATCACATTGCGGTCGCTGTGTATGTCACGTAGATGTATAGACTCCTGCTCCTGCAGCTGTATGAGGCCGCTGGTGTGGCACGTGTGCACCTTCTGTGGCATGTTTGTGGGCACTGTGTTGAGGCACTGCAGGAAGGGCGTGTGTCCGTGAAAAATGATAAAACCGTTCTGGTCGTGCGTGTTATTGTAACAGATTTGAGCATAGACGTAGTAGAGGCCGGGCTCGTGCACGGTCAGGACACCGTTGTGTACCGTGAAGTGCTGCTGCCAAGCATTCTCATTTCCGGCCGTCGCATGGCCAATGTACATATCACCATGGTAGGCTGCAAAGTGAATATATAGTTAAAGCAATACTCGTGTGTACTTATACAAGTATAATGGGAAAAATGCAAATTAGACAATTTTCTTTCAAAAAATGCCACTTTCTTAACACGGTTATCAAAAAATGGCAAGACTCATTCATTTATTCACATTCACAAGTAAATGTATAAAACAATGCAAAGCATTTATTTTCTCTCCTTTTTTACATTATTTAATAGTTATTTATGTTGAATGGCTGATCTAAATTCTGGCTAATTTTGTTTTGTTATTATTTCTGTTTTAACATGTTTGAACATTTATATTGAAACGTCTTCGTTTCTCTTCTACTTAGAAAAGGTATGTAGAAAGTCGTTTTAAATGCTTGCACTGTAAGACCCTTTATATTGTTCTTAAAGATTGAATTCTAAAATCTGATTTTTTCATTTTTGTCTGGCACAGGATAATTTGAATAATAGTATATTGAGATAGCCGTTTCAATGATCTACCATGTTACGTATACTATATGTATGTAGTTCTACACTTGCAATTTACACGAAATTTGAGAAGTGATGTTTCTTAGTTTTTATTTTAGAATTTAATTTAGACTTTCAATTATATTTCAGCTAAACTCTCTAACAATGTTCCTCGACGAACACCCCCAACGTGTCGGAGTCATCATTCATTTATTAATATTCGAATCATTAAGTTCACTTTATAACGTTTGATTGCTTTTGCCTTAGCAGCAAATATTCTCTATAGTATATTCTGTGCTACACTACTCTAACAACGATCATTTAAAAAGTAAGAATGTCAAAGTTTTCAGACAAGATCATTGCTAATTTATTTGATCTGTACTTACATTCCAAACTAATCGGTGCATTGTGATGTGGGACCTTGCGATTCAGATGAAAGTGAGCGGCAGGAGTGGACGAAAACACATCACGCCGATTTGTATTTTTGGCTGAAATAAGAGATTCACCTGAAAATTTCACAACAACAAGCACAATAGAGTATTTTGTTTTTCAATTTCTTGCCAATAGTTTTTAACAAAAGCATATTAACATGCTTTTACTCTACGTACCACTGCTTCGCTGTGCCAGATGACGGCGTCGTCCAACGCGCCTGCGCAAAGGCGAGACATGATGGCGATGTTCCGATACAAAATGGCGACCATGTGGGGGGAACTTTTTTCTATGGTGCGATATGATATCAGCGCTGTGAACATAATAAAGCAATTTCAATCAATATAAGGATACACTGGCTTTTACAAAACGACTGACCTCTCCCTTTCTGATGAAGCAGCTTTATTCAATTGATCCTGCTGAGATTTGGTCTGGTTTTCTGTAGGTGGATGGGGATATAACTGCACTTCATCGTAGGTCTGAATATCATTGCGAGGTTCGGCAATGGAACGAGACTTTCTGCAGAAAGAAATTGTTTTGAATTTATTGCAAATTTTTTATTTATAATAAAGTGCAATTTTATCTCAATCGATCTGATTGAGCAAATATCGAAAACATCATATTATTTGACATATACATATATTGCTAAACATAATTTTTTTATTTTCTATTTTTATCTAAATGAATAGTTAGGTATTTTATATTAAAAACCGAAACTCAAACCAAAAACAATAGACATTTGTATGCGGTTGAATTCCTGAGCTCAGAACATTGGTAACCCACCTTTGCTTTTTGTGCTTTCTCGAATCGTTGTAGTTTTTGAAATCGTCGAAGACATTGTCATCGGTGGATACACTTCCATCTGTATCCTCGAGACCCTGTTCAGCACTACTTTCTTCGCTGTAGTTGTGGAACTTTTTTATTATATCGGTATAGTCGTAGCTATAATCCTCGTTATACTCTTCATCTTCAGGCTCAATTAGCGTGTTGTCGTCTTCATCCTGTTCACCATTAAACCTATCTGTGAGAGCTTTGCTATACTGAAATGAAGATTGAGAATGTAGCTTTAAGACTGGCAACTTGAAGAAAAATATCTCAACGCTAACAATATGGGTCATTCACTTAGCCAGGAACGTGACTAAAGCAAGCTACTCGTATATATAGTATGTATGAACTCATATTGCTGATGCTCCCATTCCTTATGAACATTTATGATTTCATTTTTATAAATACGCGCACTTATTTAATTATTTATTTCCTTTTTCAAATTTATTTTTGTTTTTGCTCCGCTGTTTGCTCTAAATGATACTCTTTAATTGCTTTCTAGCCAGCCAATTGTTTTGCTGCGATATTTTGCAGCATATATACTCATCCGCTTACGATGTCTGCCAGCACATAAATAAATCTTAAAATGCCTTTGGCCATTTTTCCATTGATGAGATCAGATCAGTCGTCACTTAAGCTATATGTACACAGAAGCCATAATACTAATGCTCAACCCAAAAACAAAAACAAGAACCAAAAATACTTATAATGGAACTACGTAATAATTTCTATGCAGAGCTCATAAAAATATTACCTTGAACGACGCATATCTCTTTAAACTTTTCAATTTGCCATTAGCACAAAAAAAAAACTCAAATAAACGAATATCTCAAGAGTGAGTGTCGAAATGAAAGACTTTTTAAGAGGCTTGTACATTACGTGGATTTGATTTTAAAATGGAGTGGTAGGGGAAAGATTTCTCTAGAGTCTTGAGAAATCACTTACTAGTACATAGATCTTCAGTTTGAGAACTTATTTTGCATTTCATCTGTAATTGCATGTATATGTTTAATCTAACAGTTAGTTCTAGTCGATAAAAGCGTATGATATGATCGGTTCAATTTATTTTGTTAAGTAAATAGAAGATAGCAGTCAACTAGTGTAACAATCCATTAATATATTTACTATCTTCCAATGTTATGTATAAACTTCCATTCCAAACAAAACAAACCCCCGCATAGTTAAGGGAAAAAAGTTCTCTATCGTATATCTGCATCTATCCACAAATAAGAAGAAGCGGTCAAAGTTTTTGCTACAAACTCATGTATATAAATGATTTTGCGTGAATTTCCTTGTAAATAAACAAAATACATGAAATTTCGTTTAGAAAAAATTCAAAAGATATTTTAATGTCGGTGCGGTTTTCTAAAAATATACTTCGTAAATATGTCAGTGCAGGCGCGCGTTCTTTAGAGTCTTTGTTTTAATGGCGTCACCAAATAAAAAAAATTAAAAATAAAAAAATAACATAAAATCCCACAAATTATTTTTCGATGTCTGACTGGCAGACCGGACCGGCTGGCAATTTTGATTTGTGCCCACATGTGTGGATGAAAATCGTATTGGGAAAAATTGAAACTCGTTAATTATGTAAACAAAAGAAGACATTTGGCATGTGGCTAGTAGCTGAAAAATAAGTAGTGTATCCAAATAGACTCTTACCTCTTGCTGAAACTCATCTACATCTTCTAAATATTGAATGCCCAAGCGCTGCTGGAGACTTTCGATTACACGCTTCAGACTCTTCAGTTCAGTATCCAAATGCGAGACGCGTGTAGTTTGCCAAACCTATAGGAAACAAATACACATATTTATAATATAAGCAGAAATCATTTTAGAACCCATGTATGTACATACATATGTATATGTATGTATGTATCTACATGTGGATAACCAACTGGCGACTGGCACAAAATTATGCATAGTATTTAGCCTTATTTGGTGGGCACATGGTGTTTTTGCTTTAATGGGCCATAAATTATAAAATACACAATGTTTGGAAGAAAGCAATAAGCGAACCACTTGAGCAAATATCACATATATACTTTGCATAAGTAAGTATGTGTATTTTGGCCGAGCTTCCTCAATTTATTGACCTACAAAAACAAAAGCTAATATGAAATACGAGATACTCCATATACTTGTATGGCAGATCAATATAAAATTCAAATAGATGTAGCTATAAAATAATTTGAACTGAAAATCATATGAACTTGGCAGCCGAGTGCTTAACAAGTTTATTATCAGCTTAATAGGCCTCAATTAGGCCGATAGTTGGTGTCAACACCAACACGTACATAATCCAAAGCAGCGAACTCTGACACAAACCCATCAACAAAGCGCCGCCGAAATATCCCAAAAAACACAAGAATATAATTTAAGATTTCTATATATGTATGTATGTATGTATATATACATACTTATGTGAGTATGCATGTATAGAATTGCCGCCGACAGCCCATAATCTCTTTAATGGATCATTAGCGTTCTGTGCGCGAGCAGTTTTTGAGGCGTTTCAGTGTCTCAGCATGGCAGCGCTTTTTCACTTTATGCCGAATTGTCAAAAAAATAAAAATAATAATAATTGCGACTAGGGCGCCTTCCCGGTCAACTTGAGACAGTCATGGATGTGTGCGGCCCCATCTGTAAAACTCGTTGTGACTTCCTCTACGTGTACATAAAATATCTCTGGCGACCAGTTCGAACGTCATGGAACACGTTTCTTTCAATAGCCGCACATATATTCCATTTCATTTGCATTCATCATGCAAATCCAAAAACAAGGTAGCAAGCAAATCTAGGGGATTTATGTACACATATGGACAACATAAGAAGTATAGAGGTATCATGCTCAAATGCTTAATGAAATTAAATGCCTAGAAAAATACCTCTTAGAGATAATGACTCAAAGAAGAGAAACGTTTCGTCATAGAGATTCATTCATCCATTTGCAGGAAAGCTATGTATGTATGTAATTCTATTTTAAAAATGGTTATACCAGTTACTTAATAATAGAAATTATATTATTATTAGAAGTGCATGGCGTTGTTGAAATACTTCACTAAATATTTCCATATGATTTTTTCGTTCATTGCTTTCCAATTTATATATAATACTTTTTTGATCGATGTACTTGATTTTAATAGCAAAGAGTTAATTGGATTAAAAAAACTACATGATTGTGGAAAAATTCGTTTGAGGCCTTAAACAGAATTAATAAGCATGATTTGTAACTACTATGCGGCTAACTTCATTTGAAGACCTGCTAAGAAGACAATGGATATCATAAATAAATCTTAAGTGTTATTTTCAATATATTTTACAAGCAAGATATAAGAAGGAGCCTCGAATATGTATGTTTCGAAACTGATTTAACTTAACTTTTTTTGTCATTTTTTATTGCTGCACTAAAAGTAAACTGCCCAGCTGAAACTATTAGGGTAAACACACAATAATATAAAAAAAGTTGGAGCAGTCATATAAAAAAAACAAGTAAAAAAGCTAAAGTCGGGTGTCCCGACTTTGAAATACTCTGTACATATGTTTACAATAATTATAGAAAATAAAAAAAATTAAGAAAAAAAAAAAAAAATTTGATCGATTTTACCTCTCTCGGTATTCGAACTCACGTAAAGGGTGTATAATTGCACATATACATAGCAATTGCGTCTGTGTGAGTGTATGTATGCCTATGCGCATCTATTCGTGTCTGTGTAAGCATTTTCGCAGTCAACCAAACAGCAACATCAACAACAGCCGCGGGCAGCGCTTGAGCAGCGCTGCAGCAGCGCTGCATCAGCAAATATATTTATGGCTATAACTTCTTGTTAAATCGGTCTATCATAATGAAATTTGGCATACGGACACATAATAACTAACTGGGGGTATTTCCAAAATTTTAGTTCGAAATTCCAAGAATTACGGGAGTTACGATTTGCGGGGTAGAGGGGGGAGGGAGGGGAATTCCAAAATATACATTTTCTGCGTATTCACATAAGGCATCTGGGACTAAAATTTGGTGTTCCTAGGTCTTATAGTCTCCGAGATATAGGCGATTATACGAATGGAAAATCGGGAAAACCCCCATAGGGGGGAAGTGGGGGGGAAAATCAAAAAAATAAAACAAACTCGTATAGAATACACACATAACGCATCTTCGTGCAAAATTTGGTGTCTCTATCTCTTATAGTCTCTGAGATCCAGGTGTTCATACGGACGGACAGACGGACAGACGGACAGACAGACAGACAGGGCTAGATCGACTCGTCTCGTCATGCTGATCAAGAATATATATACTTTGTGGGGTCTGCCACGCCTCCTTCTGCCTGTTACATTTTTCAGCTCCCGCAAACCTAATATACTCTTGTACATTTCATGTACAGAGTATAAAAATAAAATTAAAAGAATTTTGGTAGGAGTGACAAAAACAAAACAGAAAAGATTGTACAAGAGCGATCAGACTATACGCTGTTTTTTCACGACCTGATAATAATGTTTATTTACTTTTACAAGTATGTTCGCACGATATTTGATTACAGATCTGAGACAGCTCTGACGAATGCGCTTGAGTGCACTGAGGTATAAAAAATATTATTGGATAGAGTTTTAGCTTTGTTGAAAAACACTGCAGATACAATTTAATTTAAGACTAACAAAGACACCCAAAATGTAGGAATATTTTAAGAAAACAGATATTGAAAAAAAGAAGGAGCGAGGTATTTGGTGTACAACAGCCAATGATACTTCAGATAAGATAACAACAGTAAAAGATTGTTGCACAATACCTTGTCCCACTATACTTGGGGGGAATTCTTTCAAAATGTCTCCACTGTTTTCTCTTCAAATCGATCTGTAATAAGAATTGCGACAAAATGTAACAACTTTCCCATTCAGCCCTATCTGACAATTGAATCTTTTGGCAGGCCGAATTTAATCTTGTTCCGCTGGCAACTTCACAGTGGCAAGATATTTTATGCGTTTTACATGCATATGGGCAGTAAAAATGTTTCTTACTTTCACCTTCAGCCCACATCGTAAAGACAAGCCACACACACTGATGAGGGTCACTGTGGTGGCTGTTTGTGGACGCGTGGTACTTTTGTTTTTCGAGTGGACAATGTGGCTTTTGAAAATCGAATTAAAATCTTAACAAAGATTTATGCATTCTGTGGAACTGTGTGGAACTCTGGGGAGGGAAGTACGCTTGTGGCTGCGTCAAGAAGCCAATCATTTACAAGTCAATTGACAATTGTATTATTTCCGCTGCAGGCACTTCAACTTTGTTGGGTTTCAATGGACATACTATATAGCAAGGCGGCATAAGGCGTTCAAAACGGAAAAATGCACAATCAAATATTAAACAAAACAGCAACGACTACCACAACAGCAGCCGCAAATGTGCATATATTTCAGTTTCAAAGTTTTATATGACGCATTTGCATGCATGTATATGGGACACTAAAAATACATGCATATGTTGAGATACAATTCTACAGTCAGCAAAATGGGATGAACTTAGCATTACATCGACTATAATTGAATGCTCGAACTAAGCTATAATTAGGAAGAAAGAAAAACACTCTAAGACAAACACCAAAATCTAAACGATCACTAATTACCAGACTAACAGAAGAAACTTCACTTCAAGCAGACAGACAGGCAGGCACCCATGAATTGTTTACAATAACAAAATCCATGATCCAATGTCTATAAGATTATTATCTCTCAGAAACGACGTCTGGCTAGTCATCGTCGTCGGCTTGTCTACTAAACGTTTATGGCTGCTGATTCTGCTACCTGGAAAGAAGCCGCTCCGAGTCTAGCAGCACAGCCTGTTTGGATTATCAAAGAGCAATGATTTGACAGTAGTCTTGTCGGCTGATCACAACAACTATGGTACGAAAATTGAAGTTTCAAATATTTGTGCCAGCTACACAGAGGTACGAGTAAAAATTTAATAAGAGACAGTCACGTGTCATAAAATCCGATTTGTATTTGTTTCTTTCTTTTGTTATAATTTTGAATTATACAAAAAATAAAAAAAAAACGTATGTGACATTAAATATGCAAATTGAAATAGACATAGATAGAGATTAAATTAATACATTTCTAGAAACACGCGCCATCATTTGAGTCCAGATCATAAACATAATTAATGATGCATACAAATTAGCAAAATTAAGTTTAATTTAAAAAAAAAAGCACAATTTTGTATAATGGCATAGTAAAAAAGAGCAAATATGTTGTTGTCTCAAATAAATGTTACAGATTCCTCGAAACCAGTTCGGTTCTACATTCAAAGGTCGTAAAACCTTGCAACATTTTAGTTGTAATAAAAAAATAAGGACATTTTAAAACTATTTACAGTCAATGAGTTGACAGCTCTGACTTATATATTTTTGATTGTTTGAACTGTATAGCAAATAATTATTGTTGCGTTCCTAATTTCAACTAATAAAACATTAATCAAATTAGATTTGAACAATATAATGAAATGAAATGCCATTAAATTCGATTTTTTGAATTCTTCCCAAAACCATATGATTTTTAAACTTAAAGATCGAGAAATAAGCCCATTTGAATAGTTTTTTTAGATAAAACTGTGTTCTTTGAATTTAATTTAGACTCATTTTTGAATAGAAAAACCATTTATAGAAAAAAGACATATTTGCAATATACTTAAAATGTAAAATTTTTTTCAATATTGATTTGTTTTTTATGAAAATTGAGCACTTGAAGATCAATTTTTGAACAATCATGTATAAACAAGAAAGGAATGCTAAGGTCGAGCAGGCTCAACTCTTAAATACCCTGTACCACCCCACAAAAAATGAAATTAAATTAATTAAATTAAATTTAATTAATTAAATAAATTAAATATAAAATATTCCATACATGCATACATACATTTATATTTACATCAGAATCGTGTATGTATGTGTGCACTGGGCCTGGTTATATGGCTATAACTACGTATACGGATATATAATTACTAACTGGATGTGTCTACCAAATTTTAGTTCAAAATTCCAAGAATAAAGGGAGTTATAGAAAAATGCGAATAGGGGGGAGCGTGAGGGTGCATCGAGAAAAATGAACAAACTCGTCCTTTCTCGGGCTCAGGAGAATCTGTATACCAAGTTTGGTTATTCTAGCTCTTATACTTTCTGAGATCCTTGCGTTCATACAGACAGACAGACAGACGGACAAACGGACATGGCTATCGACTTGGCTTGTCATGCTGATGAAGAATATATATACTTTGTGGGGTCTACCACGCCTCCTTCTGTGTGTGCCATGTACACTCGCACAAAACTAATATACCCTTGTACCCTTTGGGTACAGGGTATAAAAATGGTGAAAAGTTAAAATTGCGGCACTAGAATTGTATATAAATCTCGCAATAAAAGAAAGACCGAAAATATTTGCAGTAAGCTTTTGATTAACGTAACCAAAAAAAGGAACGATTTATTTCTAATTGATTTATTTTTAATTTTAAATCCGTTTTAAACTTTGCAAAGCCAGACACAAATTTTTTTATAATTTTATTTTTTTTTTTTGCATATAAACCCCTTCACTGCTAGTGGAATTCTAAAAAAACTTACCGTTAAACTCAGCAGAATCACGGCCAAAGCCAGAGCAGCGCCACTCAAGACAATCGCAATGAGTTGCTTAGTCTTCCGTTGCGAATGGGACGCGCTCGAATGCATGGCCGGAAAATTATCAACGGCACTCGTTGGTGTTATAAACGGTTTAAGTGTCTCTGCTGTCATAATTGACACGCACAATTAGTCAAGCGGAAGGCAGACAGGCAGTCGTCTATCAATACGAGATTGCTGGACTGTTCGCTTCCAGTTGTAGATGGATTATGCTTCAGCTTGCTCTGTCTGAGATGTGGCTGGTGGGGTTATCGCCAAGACCCACCCAATGCGAATGTCGCGACAACTGGCAAGTGTACTTTAAACTGCACCTCAGATGTCACAGAAGAGAAAAGCGAAATGCAAAAGCAGAAACTGCCAAGATAATGCTGACAACAAGATAAACAACTTTGCAACACTCGCGGCGGTATAAATTAGCTGGAGGTTGTTCTGGGATTTTTCAAGGTAGTAGTTTTTTTTTTTTTTTTTTTTTTTTTTTTTGTTTCCTTGTTACATATAATTGATTAGCAATTTTCTCAAGAACAAGTTTATACTGTAGGCCCAGCAGGCTAAGACTGAGGCTGCAAAGCCAGCAAGCTATCAGCTTTTCTGCGCTCGATAAAAAATTGTTGTCTGATTTCAGCGACAACTTGCACTTATTTTTAGTTATTTGATTACAGCCCGTTTGCTTTTGTCAGCCAACTTGTGTAGTCGTGTCGTCGCTTGTTTTGATTTTGATTTGTTTTGGCTACAGGCACGCACGCGCTTTTGTGACCGGCCGCGAAAACTTGTTCCGAATAAATTGTGAACGTCCGTTTGCATCTGCGGCTCGAACTAAACTGACAAATGAGCTGTTTGCGCAGCAGTCTCGTAATGACTGCCTCCTCTGCCTGCCTGAGCACGCCAGAGCATGATCGTCAGAGCATCAGTGCTGCCAAGGCTTGTGTGTCGGAAAAATCTAGATATGCAATGGAAAAATATTTTGAAATACTATCAATTATTATTTGACTGAAATGCGCAGAATCGAAATTGATTAATATTTTCAAAAACAAACAACTTTTCAATTATTTTTGCCTAATGCCAGAAATATATTTTCCAAAACAAACAATTTTTACATTATTTTTACTTAGTGCTGGTAAAAATTTTGTTTGGTTTTGCTTGACTCACATTTAAGATAATACATATGTATATACATATGTAGTTTATACTCATAAAATTATAAATATTTTTACTATAGAACAATTAAAAGTAAAACAATATTTGTACAGCCCTTTTATTGCTTGATAAAATATTTTACAAATAGCAGCGATGGCGGGAAAATGGCTAAATTGGCAACACTGCTGAGCATTAAGAGCTGGGAGAAATGCGCAGATATAAGTATACTTTTAAATCTCTCTCTCGCTCTTTCTGTCTCTCCCAACTTCTCTCTCTATGTTGAGAAAAAACAATGCCACGAACTGCGGGCTGCTGCTACTGCTACCGTAGGGCGCATGAGCTCTTTACTTTTGTTATTTGCAAACTATTCAACTAAGAGTCGCACAATGGCACTAATGGAGAAAAATGTCGACTGTTTTTAGTGAAAATAATGTGTCTTTATTATCTTTACTTCATAGTGATAGATTCAATTTCTCCACCCTCATTAATAATCTCAAGACTATAGGAAACATTGCGAAAGATATTTATGCCTATTCCCATTTCTGAATATGATGAAATCGTAATCTATTTTGTAAAAATCTCAAATTAGAACAAATTGAGTAGAATATCAATTCAATTTCTAAGTACGAGGGAATGTTCCTAATAATATGGAACGGAAACCTATTCGCGAAAATTTCTCATTTTGTGAAAATCTGCATACTAAGTTAATTATAATAGGGATCATCTATTATTTCCAGTCGCTGCTTCAAGCATCCATTATTTTTATCTAGCTACATCTTGGACATGCACCACTGTGCGTCGTGGGGTGTAATGTGGTTTTGGATGCTATATTGTGAGGGTTTTTTTAATTCTTGATGCAGCCTGCCTGACGTGGCCTATGCGGCTTTTCATGCCCATAACATTTGTGCGAGGCTATGGCGCATGAACTAAATGTATATGTATAATACATGTGTTTCCCATTAAACTGACTTTTGCGCAGTTTTTTGCGCTTGCTTCCTTAAGCCAACCCCCCTGAGAATGAGCCTTTAGGGGGTTGCAATGCGAAAGCCTTCAGACCGATATCAGTTGCACCACTAAAGAATTAAGATGTCAACGAAATCGACTAATGCCTAAATGCACCCCGAAATATCGGCTGGCACTTTAAATTGACGCAGTCGTGGTTTTTTCTAATTATGAAAATAAACAGCCTTATGTGCTGACAAACATATACACATGGCATATAATTCGTTTATATAAAAAGCACACACTTATATGCACATGTTGTGAAACTCAGATCGAGGACAGACCCCTAAGTATAAAATTCTAAATTACCAATCTAATTGAATTTTGAACTTAAAGCGATTTTTTGAAAACATATATATGTATACATATACATATGTATGTATGTACGTAGAGATAAGACAAATCACAGGCGCAAAGTGAACTTTTAACATGGCCGGATTTAATTAAAATTAAATTTATTATTACTTTCTGTTTATTTCTAGAGCTTATCAGCGTAACCGAAAAGACAGCGTGTCGTTTCGGTGACAAATTGTCTAAGTTTTGTTGCGATTACCACTAAATAGTGCCATGCCATAAGCCTAATGCAGCCAGCAACTGTCTCAGCAGACTGTCTGCCTGTCCATACCATTAATATATCGTAAATCTCGGTAGCTACTGAGACATAGGTGCATAATTTAGAGGTCTTAATGTGCTTGCCGTCGCTACCCAGCTAATTTGTTTTGAATCGATGGCGACAACAGGTAGCCAGGCACGAGACATGCGAAGAAATAGAGTGTAGAGTCCGCCAGCCGACAGGCGTACTTCCGGTCGTCTTATGTTTTACCTAACCCTGATACCTACTTACATACATAGATACCTTCCTCAATTGAATCTACACTTGCTTATATCCATTAGATAAAAGCAACGCGCACTTTTCAAAGTCAATGTCGGTAATTGATATTGCATATATATTTCAGTCGTTTATTTAATTACTCGTTTACAATTCACAATTCTGCGTCTTTGTGTCGCCTCAGATGTATTCCTTCATTCTTTTTTTTTGTGTTTGCTTTTTATTTGCAACCATTTATCGCACGAGCATCAGTTTAACCGAAGCTTGAAATTAATTTCTTTCGAATGTCTTTTCCTTCGCCTTCTCAAGCAAATAGTTTTCATAAAAAAGCGAATGGGGAATGTGTACGAACATATGAATATTTCACATTTCTACATAAATACATGGTCTGTCCTAATGAAAATTCGTTCCGATAATTAAAATATGACAGGCTTATTTGTCATTCAATGAAGTGCTTTCAATGTCAAGAGCTTCCAAATGACCTCTGAGTCCTATAGCAAGTGATGTACATACATCAGCAATTTCAACAGAGACAGTTTACAAGCATATGGATGCTCTCAAAGTTTGTGTCAGCTGTTGAAAATTATCGCAATTTTGTATTCTTGTTTAAATAATAAAAAAAAATAGCTAATGAAATGTCATTCAAGCATTAATTTCATTTAACCGAAATGTAAACGGTCATTGGGGAAAACCATAAAAAAAACATTCAGCTCCAAGAAAAAACAAAATATATCGCCTCCCTAGATCCATTTTGAAGATGATATTTATTCTCATTTTGCTTTTTCCGTTTAGGGCATACATACATTTTGACCGGTAATGCTCTAAATGTTTAAGATCAAAAATTAAAAAATCATACAATTCCTAGGAGAGTAAAACTGATAAATAAAATGTGCTTAGTCTCGGACTAATGTTATCTACTTTTCTGAAAGGATAAATTGCATTGGTATACTCCTTTCAATTATATCGGGGGCAATGTTATATTTCATAATTTTCATTGTGACATTCAAGCTCCACTGAATCTAAAGGGTACCTGCCTTGTAATAGTGCCACTTTATTTATAGAATAAATAAAAAAAAACGTTGTTGTACCTTGGTAAATGTTCACAGGCATTATCGACCATTCAGATTTATGTTCTTCAATGCTTGTATTTTAATTGGTGTTTTTTTTTTATATTGCTAGTTTTATAACGGATTTTCAAGATGGTATCGAGTATGAGTATAAGAGTACTTGTATATGACACTGCCAACCTGCTAAGGCAAAAAAGAACCACTCAGCTGATTATCGGTTCATTTGCATTTTTTTTCTTCACGTAGTCAAAATGAGGTTGTCCGGTGTTTTCTTAATTTTATTAATTAAATTTGTAGGGCAAATCAAAGCGCAGGCAAATGAAGTTTTGGGCTGTGGTGGTTTCATTAAAAGTCATGCCGACATTGACTTTTCTAAAGTGGAAATCAAACTGTAAGTGAAAACAGTTGCCGCCTGATAACGCAGTCCCATTACAACTAATTTAAAAAATGTTCCCTACATTATAGGTTAACGAAGCAGGGCTCGTTAAAAGACAAGACCGACTGCTCACCTTCTAATGGTTACTATTTCTTGCCTATCTACGACAAGGGTGAATATTTGCTGAGCATTTCACCGCCACCGGGCTGGAGTTTCGAGCCGAAACAGGTGCCTTTAACATTCGATGGAAAGACTGACGTGTGTCAGGGAAAAGATGTGAACTTTGTATTCAAGGGCTTCGGAATTACCGGCAAAGTGGCGCTTAGCGGTGGCAGTGGTGCCCGCGATGTGGACGTTGAGTTGAAGTCGGAGAAGGGGGAACTGTGGCGAACGAAATCCGACATAAATGGCGTATTTTCCTTTACTCCGATAATTCCTGGAAATTATGTACTCCGGGCCAGCCATGCTAATTGGCATTTTTCCAAGGCAGAGCACAATGTCGTTGTGAAAAGCGGTAACACTGAGTTGCCGAATGACGCACTGGTGGTCTCCGGATTTGATGTAAATGGACACTTTGACGCTAGCTCTCAATTGCCCGGAAATATTGGGGTAGTTCTGTACCGGAGAAAGGGCGTAAGTGATATTTATCTTCTAAATATAAATATATACTGAAGGATCTTTTTAACCGCAGCAAACGCTTGTGCCTGGGTGCGACAAGTCCACAAAAACGCTCACAAATAAAGTGAAAAGCGAATTTGAAAGCGATGCTTCGTGCTATACATTGGTGGAAAAATCGGGCGAGTATAACTTCAAGAATGTGCCAATGGGCAAATATTTGCTGCAAGCGGTCAACGAAAACTCGAATTTAAAATTGCATTTAAGCCCTGAATACATAGAAGTCGAAGTTGGCAAAGATACTTTAGAACTGAAAGAACAATTTAGAATAACCGGATTTACGGTTACGGGTCAGGTGCTTAGCTCAGCTACTGGTGTGCCAATTAAGAATGCGATTGTTAAGCTAGATAATCGAAAAGTGGCAGAGACTGATGCCAAGGGTAGCTACACTCTTACGAACATTAAAGCTGGCACTTACACCATAGAAATCGAATCACCGCAGTTGCAGTTTGAGCCCTTCCAAGTAAAGGTGCAAATCTCAACACCAACATTGCCAACAATTGTGCCATCGGCATACGAAGTTTGCGGGAAAGTTACCTCGTCCAAGTCCTATGTATTGGGCATCACGAAAATCGGCTCAACATTCCACACGACCGCAACGACTCAGGCATCGAGTGGCAATTGGTGCACATATTTGCCAGCGGGTAAATACAACATTGTTGTATTGACTACAGATGCGGACAAGACCAGTGGAATTCAATTCTTCCCTGTGACGCAACAAACTGAAGTTCAAGATGAACCAATCAATGGGATAACCTTCTCTCAGGTCAAAGCCAAATTACGCGGCCAGCTACAATGTTTACCGGATGCCACGGCCACTTGCACATCTGCTGAGGTGACACTACAGAGTTTGGATGCAACTGGCCAGCCCACAGAGCAAAAATGGCGCGCAAAAGCTCATCGTAAGCTTGGGAAACCCTCTTACTTATGTATATTGTTTTTTAATTTATGTGTTCTTGCAGGTGGAAAATATACGTTCAAGGATGTGCTACCAGGCCCCTATGAAATCAGTATACCACAAGACAATCTGTGCTACGAGTCCACACGCGTCTTTTTGAATGTCGCCAGTGCTGAGGAAGAAGCGCCGCCTTTCATACACAAGGGCTATGAAGTCTCTATTATTTCCAGTCATCGCGCTCTTGTAAGTACATAACACTATTAAATTACGCACTTAATTGCAAATATTCTTTTACAGATGAAGTACACTCATGTGACTGGACCCTCGGATCCTCCCCCCGCCGTCGAAACTTTGAAAATTCTGTCAGGTGTTAACACCTTCTGTGTCTCCAAATATGGAAGTTACGATTTTAAACTTGAGGGCTGTCATATCTACGATGATACTTTGCCCAGCAAATTTATTACATCGGAGCCCGACCAAATGCAAACGCTGATTATCAATGCCATTGCCCATAAAACAGGAGTACGTGTTCTTTCCACGGAACCGAGTGCTGACTCTTTGAAATTGGCAATTGAATCTGAATCCTTGGGCAAGCAAATTATTACGCCCATTGCAGAATCACACAAGGTTGACGGGAAATATGCATATCGCTATGAAACTTATCTTAAACCAGACGAAATTTTAAATATTACCCCACTTAGTCAAGTATTGCTCTTCGCACCGACATCGCAGCAAATTGTGGGTGGCGGCGATTGCGTAGATATTGCATTTAACTTTGTAGCTACACGTGGATTGATACTGCGCGGCAAAGTCGTGCCGCCCATAAAAGATGCCAAAATAACATTGTCTTTCCCCAATAATCCGGATATTGCAGTCGTCGATACGCTCACTTCTGTAACGGGTGAATTTCAATTTGGACCCATTGACGAGGCATTGCAATTTGATTTGAAAGCTGAAAAAGAATCCTACGTATTCACCGAATATAATCGACAATCTGCATCCTTTGGCGCCCATAAACTCTGCGAAGTTGCTGTCATTGTGAAGGACGAAGCTGGCCAACCGCTAAGTGGAGTTTTACTCTCACTAAGTGGTAGTGAAACTTATCGCAAGAACCTAATTACTGGTGACAACGGTGCCATCAACTTCCACTCGCTGTCGCCATCCCAATACTATCTGCGACCCATGATGAAGGAATACAAATTCGAGCCTAATTCCAAAATGATTGACATCAAAGACGGTGAAACAATTTCGGTCACATTGGTGTAAGTTTTGCGACTTAATTTTTCTGCCTTTCAAGTCAAATTTTCTATACATTTATTTAACAGCGGCAAGCGCTATGCTTACTCCATTTTTGGCACCATTACATCGCTGAATGGTGATCCATTTGCCGAGGTCACAGTGGAGGCCACCGCCGATGAGGGCTGCATGCATCAGCAAGAGGAGGCCATCAGTGAAAATAATGGTCAATATCGGATTCGTGGTCTTCAGCCTGGCTGTTCATACACCGTTCGCGTAAAGCCAGGCGATCCGAATGTCGATCGCTCCATACCTCCAAAGCACACCATCAGCGTGGGCAACGCGGATGTACGCGATGTGAATCTTATTGCTATTAATCCCATAAAAATCGTAGATGTGACAGCTCGCATTACCGCTGCGCTTAATGAGCATTACAAAACGCTGCGTATTGTTATGTATAGACGTGGCCAATCAGACTCGCCAGTGTTCTCTCAACGCGTACCGTCGCCCCTGAATCCGAAGTCCAGTTTCAATCCCGGCATAATGGTTTACTTCCCACGTATTCCACGTGATGGCAAGAGCTATGTGGTGGAGTTGCAATCAACACTCTCCGAAAAGACATACAGCTACAAACTTCCCTCGTTCTCATTTGTAGCCGATAGATGCTCTGTGTTTGTGCAATTGGAATTCAAGCCAGAAGTGCGCACTGCCGAGGCAGATCTTAATCAGAACTCGATCTCAGCACTGGTGCTCATCGCCCTTGTTGCCATTGCTTTCTTCAAACAGGACTTAGCGGTTAACTTTTTAAATTTTGTTTGGGGAAAGTTGAGCGATGTGGCCGCTGATTTTTCACAACGCCAAAAGACGAAAACAAATGTGCGTAAGAACGAACCAATTAATCAGCGACAAATCGAACAAATGGCCGAACAGATAAACGCAGTTAAAAAGCGACAAAACGAACAATTTGTCGACCAAACAAACGCGATTAAAAAGAAAAAGGTCAAAAAAATTTAGTTTGACTAGTATGTCCCTAGATTACGAACAGATTTTCTCGTTTTCGAGTTGGGTATTTGGTTTTGTTTGATACTGAGATTTGTTTTGAGTAAATGACTATTATTTAGAGCCCCATGTTACATTTTTGTTCATTATAAATTATGATTTTTCCTTGTAATTTTATTAGTAAATGAGGCAAGTTTACATATACATATGTTTTCGAAATCCATCTTCAACTTAATAGCTAAAATAAATAAATAAAATAATTTAATTTAATTGTTCTACTGGGTCATTATGTGCTCTGCAATGGAGTCCAGCATGCGATCACCTCGCCTGTGCTTCTGTTTTGCATGTCGTCTCTCTGCCTGCAGATTTTCTTCGTTTTGTGCTTCCAGATTTCCCTCTTCGGTCAGCTCATTGCTGGCTTCGACGGTGCTTTCGTGTGCCGCTGATGATTCCTCCGTGGCACTCTCTTCGCCAGTTGCCTCAACAGCTTCATGCTCAACGAAAATACACTCGGGATTGACGGTGGCACACTCACTAAAATTAGTCGCTCTAGCTTGTGGATTGAGAGCGTTTGTGTATTTTTCAAAAAAGCCTCGACCAACAATACGGAAGGCCATGCTGCTTAAGGGATTGAGCTTGGAACGGAATTCCATTTCACAGACAAAGCGACGGCGACAAGCCTTAGAGTCGAGGCCCAGGAAAGCAAACATGAAATCCGCAATTCTAGAACACAAAAAGCAGAGATCATTGTATTTCAAAACATAATATTTCTGTCGACACTTACTGCTCCTCAGCGGGCATTTGGCGCGCAACGCTCTCTGAAATTTCCTCATCAACTTCTTCTACTTCCTCGTCGTCGTCAACGATGCTTCGTTTGCCGCGGCGGTTTGGATGCCCGCTCGACGACGGTGCAGTTGGATCAGAGTGTACGTAGGAATGATCGTCGGATATAATGTCCGAGCCTGAAGAATATCCACTGTAGGCAGAATAGGGATCGAAGGAGCTAGAGTCATACGAAGTGGGTGAATCATAATGCTCTATATGCTCCGATTGCGAGTGAGCCAGGGAGTAAGGTATGTGGTCGTGCTGTGTGTATGATGGTGGTCTGCATCGGTGATATGCAATATTAATTATCATTTATCACTTATTCGATTTATGATTTGTACTCACGGATGATCTAATATAATTTCCTGATTGCATTTGTGTGGCCAGAAGTACCGCAGTCCCAAATAAATTGCACTGCCCACGAAGAAGGAAACAATGACAACCTTCACTTTAATCCAGTAAGCAATAGCTAATGGCCATAGGTGGCGAACTAAAGGTATAAGATCATATCAATACCGATTAAATAACAATATTTCAATTACAAAAGTTTCCAAATTATCACAACAAACTTTCACTCTGTATACACAAAATTCTACAGCCGGCTTATTTTCTTTAGGCGGGACGTGATCTACGACAATGTATTGTTTAATATGCTCTGATTGAAAGTGAAAAGTGTTAATTAATTGGTCGTGATGAACCAATTGGAAAATATGCGTATTGTCTAGCCACCTGGTTATTGGGAAAGTTTTGAAAGAAAGTGCAAAAGTGCTACAAATGTATATAAATAGTGTGCTATATTATATTGAACTAATACAAAATTTAATAATCGTGATAGAATGAATAAGTACACTAGTTATATATGGACATTTTTTTATAAGTGATAATTTTTATGTAAGATACAAGTATTAAGAATGTGTTGAAGATGTTAATACTTATTATAAATAATTGAATTAAAACAATAATGAATTCTCGTGCTTTGTCAACTTACGCCAAAACCGATGGCGACGACGCGTGCGTCCTTCCACCTCCAGTAAATCTCTGCCAGTACTGAGCAATGTTTCCAGATCCGGTGTTTGAGTTTCGGTATTATCAACTTCCTCTTCACAAAACACTAACGTAAAGTACACTATAAGCAGCACGGCCGCATAGAAGATAGTATTTTTATGCATTTTAAAAAACGTTATTTCCTTATGCCGATCGAGATGTATCCTTTTTATATAACTTTGGGAGCTTATTTTATCACTGTCACATCCACAGTTACTGCCGAACTGATTGATGCACTTACTACCCGGGTCTTCGCTTTTATACCTCCAGCAAAGCAACTTCATGGTGATAATTGCCAAACTAATTACACGTTAAACAAAATATTGATATTAGTGCCAGTGCCTTGGTGGTTTTAGGTGAAGAGTGTAACGCATGCGTAGTGCTCGATTGGATCGAAACGTTTTTGTCTTTTAATATTTGATACATGCATTTGAAATGCTAAAGAAATTTCTTTAAACTGGTGCAATTTCACTTTTATGTATATTTCAAAAATCGTGCTATATCATACAAGCGGCTGTTGCTTTTACGCATGTTTGTGCAAATCGATGAGTGGTGTGCATTTTCTTTAAATTAGTACATATTACGCGAGTTAAAACATTTACATAATTAGCATGCAACATTACCGAACTGGTTGTTGTTTTTATACGACCTAAGAAGTACGTCTATCAAATTTTGAAATCGCGCGCCGTTCTACCAAGAGCTATCGATAATAAAAGGGAATATGTATGTATCTCCCATCGCTAGTTCGTTCTAATTGTAACAATTGCTGAAGCGCGTCCGGGTCTAATCCTAGTCCAGGAACCGCGATGTCCAATGAACCAGATGCAAACCCGGCTCCAGATCCTCAGGCGCCTGTCACACGGAAGGGGTTCTTGATGTCCCTAAAGACCGGAGTGCCAATGCCGATTCCGGAGGATGATTTGGTTCGTTTTTCTTTTATCATTTATTTGTAAACGCTTGAGCTAATTTTATATTACTTCGCCAGTACGGACGCTGCCGCCCAGTGGCCGAGTTCGAGAAACTAAATCGCGTTGGCGAGGGCAGTTACGGCATTGTCTGTAAGTCTTGGAACATATTTTAGTGCTGTTTTTTCTAAAACCCTTTGCTTAGATCGGGCACGTGATACGCGCTCAAACGAAATTGTGGCGCTAAAAAAGGTACGCATGGATCAAGAGAAGGATGGTTTGCCGGTCAGTGGACTACGAGAGATAATGATCCTTAAGAAATGCAATCATGAGAATATTGTACATCTGCGCGAAGTTGTGGTCGGCAAAAGCTTGGATAGCATATTTTTAGTAATGGATTACTGTGAACAGGACTTGGCATCGCTACTCGACAACATGTCGCAACCATTCACCGAATCGGAAGTTAAGTGCATTACACTTCAAGTGCTTCGAGCCTTACAATATATGCATGCCCGCTTTATAATTCATCGTGACCTAAAAGTGTCTAATCTTCTAATGACTGACAAGGGCTGCATTAAAGTTGGTAGGTATCCGAAAGTTTTGCCAGGTAACATTTTTATAAATTTGATTTTGCTTTCAGCCGATTTTGGGTTGGCGCGGTTATATGGAAATCCTCCGAAGCCCGTCATGACTCCGCAAATGGTTACGCTTTGGTATAGAGCGCCGGAATTGCTGCTAGGCGCCAGGACACACACCACAGCCGTAGATATGTGGGCTTTTGGGTGTATTCTGGGCGAGCTGCTGTTAAACAAACCCCTCCTGCCCGGCAATTCAGAGATCGCACAGCTTGATTTGATCATTGAGCTGTTGGGTGCGCCATCCGAATCCATTTGGCCTGGATTTTCAGAACTGCCTGCCGTTAAGAACTTCACATTGAGTGAACAGCCGTACAATAACCTAAAAACCAAATTCCATATGCTTTGTCAGCCGGGAAGAGAATTGCTTAACATTTTATTTATTTACAATCCTAACACACGTGCCTCTGCTGATGAATGCCTGACCAGCAAGTACTTCACATCGGCGCCACTCCGTGAGTACAGAATAAGACGAAACCAACAAAGAAACCTTTATTTATTTTTCAACTTACAGCTTGTGACGCGCGCCTAATGCCCACATTTCCGCAACACCGTATCTTGAGTGGTGGCCAACAGCAACGACAGATGCCACAAGCAACACAACCACCCACAGATAATATACCAATTTCCGATTTACTAAATGTGTTTATTAAAAGACAACGTTTAGAATAAACTCTAACGACTTTGCTTTGCACTTATGCAATACAAATTTACAAATACGGGCGATCCATGGGTGTTTTTTTGGCCTTCTTGTCGCGAGCCCGTGGAAACCAACGATGCTTTGTTGTATGTGTTAGTTGCATTAGCTCCTGGCGCGCCACCTCAGGTTGCTTATTCTTGAATGCGCTTATTGCTGTCTGAAGCGCTGTCTCCTTAATTACCTGCGAGTTCTGCGCCTCCACCGACACCGGCAGAGGTTTTGTATGCTCATAAGGAAATGAAGTGTCCGGATGCCAGGCCACAATTGTTTTTCCATTTTTGGTTACGCCAACGCTCTCCACCAGGCTCTTTCCACCCAGGGGGTTTTTATTCAACGCATTTTGTGCTGAATTTATTGAAAACAAACGAAAACCACAATACAAACGTGCTGCTGACATTTTTAGGGTGACCAGTCGCATCAGTCACACCCGCCTATCGATAACCAATGATAACAATATTAAATGTCACAGCTGTTTTTTATCAGTCGGAATCGGAATTTGTTACTGTTGCGGGCGTTTTTTCTGTTAATTTTTATTTGTTCTGATGTGGGGTTTATATGCACTAGTTGTGCATTTGCTGCTGCTGGGCTCCATATTCGTAATATACTTTCGCTCTCCGGTTATTGAGGGTCTTCGGCCACAGGTTCCGTTGAAGGCGGCCGGCTTGGAGGCGCCCGCAAATCGTTTAGTTTTGATTGTCACCGATGGACTGCGTGCTGATTCATTTTTCGAGCATAACTGCAACCATGTGGCGGACCTTCGCGAAATATTCATACGGGAAGGCTTGGTGGGCATATCGCGGACACGGGTGCCGACCGAATCTAGACCAGGACATATAGCCTTAATTGCCGGACTTTATGAGGATCCGTCGGCAGTGACGCGCGGCTGGAAAGAGAATCCAATTGAGTTCGATACGGTGTTCAACCGTAGTGGCCATACCTATGCTTGGGGTGCGCAGGATATTCTGCATATTTTTGAGAAACTCGCTGATGGCGGACGACCGATGCTGTTTGATGCCTACAACCACGACTTGGACTTCTCTGGCCAGCATAAAACGTATAAGCTTGACGACTGGGTGTTTAAGAGAGTGCATCTACTGTTGCAAAGGAAACAAAAGGAACTGCGAGCCGCTAAGGAAGTGGTGTTTTTTATGCATCTGTTGGGCTTGGATACAGCCGGTCATGTGCACAAGCCCGGAACGCCGCTTTTCTTGGAGAACCTCAATTTTACGCAACATGGTATATGGGAGATGTATCAGTACTTTGAGAAGGTTTTCCCAGATAAACGTACAGCATATTTATTAACCTCGGACCATGGCATGACTGACTCGGGTAGGTCGAGTTAATTAAACCGTTTGTCACTGCTCTAAGCACCTTTTTTTAAAGGGTCTCATGGTGCAGGTGCACCTCATGAAACAGACACGCCATTCGTTCTTTGGGGTGCTGGTATAACTCACAACGGACCTCCAGCAGATCGTACTTTTGTGGCCAATGATAAGGGCACACGTCTACCTCTACATGAGCTCGAACAAGCGCAGCTTACTCCATTGATGTCAGCTCTAATTGGCCTGCCGCCACCCATGAACAACTTTGGCGTATTGCCCTTAGGATACATAAATGCCAGTGCCAACTACGAGGCACATGCTGCGCACAGTAACGCACTTCAGCTGCTGGAACAGTTCCGTAAGTTAGCGCAGGATCACAAGCGTGGTCTGTTTGCGAAATATATGAATGGCTTCAAGGCACTGGGCCATTTGGAAATTGAGATCTATGAGCGTCAAGCTAAAGAACTGTTGGAGAGAGGCAAATACCAGGAATCGCTGACAAGCAGCGGCATGGTAATGAAATTGGCGTTGGATGGTATTGATTATTACCACGGCTATTATCGTAACGCACTGCTCTTCAGTACTACGGCCACATTTGTGGGTTGGATACTATATCTCTATCAACTTCTGGCGGTGGATAAAACGCTGTACTCCAGCGCACCAGCAAAAGATGATGCTTCAGCGGACACTGCCATGCTAACAATAGGAATTGCGGTTGCTATACTTATTATCTTTATATTGCTGCAGGGCGTTTCATTGTCCATTGGACTTTATTTATTGCTGCCGCTGTTCATTTGGCTGTTGCCCATCAGACAACGCGTACATAATATTAATGCCCACAAAACTGTACGATTTGCATCGAAGACGCAATTGTTGGTGCTTATTGCGTGCGCCGAACTGCTGGTATTTACATTTTTCGAGCGTCGATTGATCTCATTGTGTTTCGTTGCCTTTGCTTGCTACAGCAATTGGGGCAAGTTTAAGACGAACACTCTGCAATATTACGTTTGGCTGTTGCTCATCATATGCCTGAGCGGCTTCCCGCTGCTGCCACCATCTGTGGGCTATCAGAATATGTATTTAATGATCGCTGGCATATTAATTATCCTGCTGCGCGCCTTTGTACTCTGCAGACATCGGTATAGCTGGCACACTAAATTTTGTAATATCTCAATACTATTGATCACAGCTGCCTGTGTGTTTTTGCACACAAATCAAATGGGTGTGCCGCTTCCACTACAGCTTGCCGCATGGCTATATCTGATCTATGCGTTTGTCTCGATTCTACTTAGCAAGGACACATCGCTGGAATCGCGTCTCGCGCATATTTTCTTCAATCTGGGCACACTCTACACACTGCTATGCACATCATACGAGTCGCTCTTCGTTCATTTGTTGGCCATTGAACTGATGCTGTCTTTGGCGACTCAAGAAGCTCAGGAGGAGGCTGCGCCACAGCGAAAACAGCTTCAAACATCCTTTCGGCTGGCCTTTACAATTCTACTATACACATTTTTCTCGCTTTTCGGAAGCGGCAATATTGCGTCCATTAGCTCATTCGATCCGAACATTGCGCGTTGCTTCCTCAGCCATTTTGCACCATTCGTCATTATGGGATTGGTGCTGCTGAAGCTCATCCTACCGGTGGTGCTGAATATGTCCATTATATACACATATTGCGACTATGTGCGTCAGCATGAACGCCAGTTTTTCATCTGTCTGCTGCTCATCTGTGATATAATGGGCCTAAACTTTTTATTCATGGTGCGTAATAGTGGCTCCTGGCTGGAGATTGGATCTTCTATATCGCATTTTGTTATCATGGAGATTACGACGTTGGTGCTGCTGCTGCTAGCCTATTTGGCCAAGCTGCTGCTCAAACTAACAACCATAAAGAAAATAAAGAGTAAAGCTTAGTTTTACACATTACTTAAAAATATACACATATGTATTTCGATTAATATTTACAGCGCTAATTACGTAAGTAGGTAACTAAATCATAGTATCTATCTGCTAGGAATGTGTGTGTGTGGGTTGGTGCGTCTAAAAAAGTTGTGTCGATCTACTTTTTACAACCAATACTATAAAAAACGTTTTACATGAATGCCATTTGTTATTCTTAATTTGATTTTTAAAATAAGCTTGAAATAAGAAATAAGTAGATTAACACAACCCTGTTATTTAAGCTCCACGCAACATGGCACGACATCTAATGAGTTATAGCACAAAAACGAATGATTTGTGTTTCGGGCCTATGAATACATACTATATATGTATCACTAATCTTTAAGATATTGCTCCAATGGATTTGATCCCAGGAGTCGCGAAGTCGCAGTCTCATCTGCAAGAAAATGTGACAATGAAAAAAAGTACACAACGTTTGGATAAAGCTAAAAGATGACTTCAAATCAAATTTTTTGAAAGCCTTATCACATTTATTTCTTATTTACTTGACTGCGCTGATTTTGCAGTTGTGGAGCTCTCCGGCTGGGCAGTTGACTGCGTCAAACAGTCCACCCACTCGGACATTGAGATCTTCTTGTCGCCATTCACATCACAGTAGCGCGGCATTTTCTTGCCACATTTTCGCAAGTTTCTGAAAAACATTTTAATATTAATTGTTGTTCTAAAAAAGCAAGTCTTGGACTACGCACCTGACACCGGTGACGAGATCTCGAAAGACCTTCCATTCCTTGCGCTCCCATGACTTGTTTTTGTTCTTGTCGAGAAAAACGAAACTTAATGTGGCAATGCGCTCATCCTCCGTTTTCCAGATGGTCGTATTTGTGCTGTTAAAATTCCAAATGATTTAGACCATTTTCAGAAAATTCCAGACAATAATTTAGAGAACCGTTATAGATTAATGGCAAATATTATTAGAAAGAAATATATTATTTAAAGGGGTAATAGCTTTATTAAAACAATAGTAACTCTTAAGAATGCAAAAAAATATGCTTAGAAAAGGTTTACAAGTGGAGATAATGTTACCCTTAATATTACAAATATATTTCAAATTGAAAAACTTAAGTAACTTGGCGTTAAATCCTTTCTTACAGCAGTTGATATAAACAATTTTATTCCAAGTGTGAACTTGCACAATAGGCCCCAATTTCTTATCTTTCTTCTTGGGAAGAATGTTTGGAAGAAAAGAATATTCTTTTGCCAAAAAAAAATTTAAGATAATTGTTGATACTTTCATAGTTTATGAAAAATAAACAAATACTACATATTTGTATTGGTGTTAAGTTTTTCAGATGAGAAGACAAAAAACGTAAAGCTCAGAATTAATTGCGAAAAAGGTTAAGCGTTCATCAAATACATTTGAGTAATATAATTTATTATTGTAGTGTTTTCGCCGTTTTGATTATATATATAATTTGGGTTTTTATACCTTCCTATAAAAAAAAAATAACCTAAAGAAATATTTTTCTACCAGAAACACTGTAATTTTGACTTGTTTTTGAATTTTTTTTTCGAAATTTATAGAATAAAATTAAGAAATTTAAGTTCCGAGGTAAAAGTTTACGCAACGATAAGAAAATCGCCATTAAATGTTATCGCATTAGGACATAAAATATCATTTAGTTTTTGTGAGCTCTAAAAACAACACTTACCTGGTATTGACGCCGGAAAGTATTTGCGTTTTAAGATACTCCTTCAACTCCTTGAGGAAGGCGCTGTGACGTGGCTCTAAGCAGCCCTTCATGGGTCTCACGGCGCTTATCTCATCGCACTGTGGCCGCTTGCCATTTACTAAGGTATGCGGGATGGGCTTGCCCGTATCCTCGTGGACGCACCAACAGTAGGGGGTGGAGCGGTAGCATTGCTCTCGCTGATAGCGTCCATCGGAGGTGCATTCCGGCATATAGATCTCACTGTTGCCGCTGTGCTGTTAGTTTTGGATGAAAGGTTAGTTGAAACCTTCAAATCGAAGCTATAAATAGGCTTACGAGTTGCTCCTCGAGGGCTCCAGCCTGATCAGACCAGCAATTGGACTCCGTTTCGGGCTCGGTGTTGGTCGGCTCCGTCTTGGAACTTAGAACTGTTAAGAGATGGGCATTAGCATAAATTCTATTGTGCCCTTTAAGCATGCCATGTTGAATAGTTGTTAGTTTGAATATGGTATCCCGACATTTACGTACAATAAAATGATGGTGCATAGTTCAGGGATGTGCGTGAATTGGGCCTGTCGATGGTGCCACCATCTTCGTCCTCGTCATCTTCGCTTTCATAGCCCTCATCGTATTCACCGGGCGTCCTGTGTTCGTTGCTGTCGCTGCCAAAATCATCCAACAGGCTAGACTGGCTGTGATGGTTCCCAATGATATTGGTGTTGGTATGATCGTGGTTTTGGTTTTGGTTCGGATTGTGGTTTGTATGGATGGTATGCAGATTGGTAATGTGTGTACGGAGGGTTGTTGTTATAATACTGCTAGGCGTTGGACGGCTCTTCAACACATCAACGGCCACATTACCTGTATGGATATACAGACATACACACACACATGTACCAAAAAATATGTTAAATCACGAATCATTATGAATTGTTATGCTCGATGATGAAATTCAATTATAATTGTAAACAATATCAATATAAGTAGGAGAACATGCAGTTGATGAAGACGAATTAGAAATGTGCAATGCTTATTAAATAAATATGAAGCATGTATTAATCGACCAGTTTTAAAAAGATGGTTATTATTGTTACTTCTAACACTAAGGTTGTTGGAATACTTCGATATAAAATTAATGTTTTGTGATCTTGCTCTATTTTTTAATTTAAACAATTCCAAAAATAACACTTCATATTTGTAGGCAACTTTTCGAAGTAGTCGTCTTAAAAATCACGTTAATATTTTATCAGACTTCGCTTTAACTTCATCATTATATTAATAAAGGAACTCATTTTCTTAAAAAGGTCTTAGCAAGCTGTGATCTACGAGTGTAGTTTTTACAACGCTTTTGTATGAACACATTTCACATTTTCCGAACGAGTGCGAATTTGTCAGCAATTAAAATAAGGCGTAGCACTTCAAAAACATAAACCTATATTATGACATTGCTGATAAGTACTTGGTCCAGCGTACAAAACATCAAAAAGTTCGTTTGATAATAGCTGATTTTATTCTAAAAAAAAACACTAGAAAATAACAAGGGACACACAATTGCCGACATTTTTGAAAACTACTATAGGAGTATGTTCGCAATCAGAATATAAATATATAAAATAGTTCGTTTATTTCGGTCTTCACGATTTTCCGATTATCCGACTATTTTATTTTTTTTGTGTGCTAAAAGCTTATGCATAGGCTTTTGTTATGTAACTACTTCTTACAAAACGGACCACTTTACATTTATTTAGGTGTTGTTCCCTGTGTACCCCTCACATAATTATGTCCGCCATGAATAATTTGTACATAAACTTTCTTTAATACATTTGCTAATTATTACTCAAGCTATATTTAAATATTTTACATTATTTTGGATTTCTTTTTTTTAAACTAAAAATTAAGTTTTCAGAACTTAGTTTCCTTCATAAGCCCTAGTGTAAGAAATATTAAGTCTGTTGATTAAAATACACCAGATAAGCAGAGAAGATGGTTCATGGTGTTATATTTTTTAAAATAAATGTATAGACACTTGTAGCCCTGGTTAGTTTAAAGTAATGAGAGCGACCATGGTTTGTTAATCGTTTCTAATACCCGACTCTCTAAGCAACGGTTATATGAATCCCATGCCAGTACTTACGATTGCCGCCATCTTTAGCCAGACAATTGCTCCACTCCGATCGCGACAGTCCCTCGTCTTTGTTGCCATTGCAGTATTTGCCAAACGCACGTCCACAACGTCTGGGCTTCACCGCCTGCATTATTTGCATACAAATCAATAGTGAATAGCTCAAAGATAGGTAAGTCAAGCCAATAACAGCACCATTGAGGCACGCTGACAGCTACTCACCCGCTTGACGAGCTTCTTCAGCTCACGCACTTCTTGCTTGTCCAGCATTTTATTGCCATTCCCATCCAATTGGGCAAACTTCCAATCAAGCACGGCTGCATCCGAATGCGGCTGCAGTTGTCCGGCGCGCGTATACTCGCTGCGAAAAATATCCAGCAGATTATTGTTGAAGACGACCCGGTCCGCTTTGCTGCAAGGACGATGGCCGCCGACGCCGCTATTGTTGCTATCCCCACCATCGGCACCCAGACCGGGGTTTAGGAGACGCGGTGGCGAACGACGCCGATTGCCACGCCTATATGCACGGCACTTGGGTTTGCGCGTGCGCACCGATGTATTCTGAATGGGATTCCCCAAGCTATCACTGCACCAGCAGCCGTTATCACCAAAGCATTGCACCGCAGCGTAGTTGCCATCCTTGCGGCAACGTGGCAGAAAGTTCATAGTATTGCGTGCCCGATTCTTGCGCGCATATTGACGCGCCTCCACGCAGGCTGTGAAATGAAATTCATTCGTTAATATCTGATGTTGTGTCAGAAGAAAAAAACCCCCGCCAATACAAATATATGCAATTAAATCAATTAATATTGATGTATCTTTTCAAAAACTGAAAATATTTATTAAAATCACAAAATATTTCCTGCAAAGTGAAGTATATTTTCCTATAGCTCTGATGTAAATCTGATTCATGCCGAAATTTTATAGATTTTAATCACACCACAGGATTATTTTGAGAAGAGTAAAACCCATATTATTAATATTCCTCTGACATAATAAATGTCGAAGAAAATAAAATAGTTTCTGGGTTTCGATCCGATATTAAGAATCTTTCAACTTTCGTTACTTAAAGGTCATCTCTAAATTGGAGCAAAACATAACCTTGTGCGTCCTTGAAAATGTGGAAAAGGGAAAGAAGTATTTTCTAAAATGTTGAATATACATACATTTATGAGTGCATGCAATGTGTTTTAATATGACTCACCCTTGCACCCGCCGCGATTTCTCAGGCTAACCTCGTAGCCACTGCACTGGACACGCAACAGGTGGCAGCGTGTGGGATAAGTCCGATCATCGGTGCCGCAAACAGGACCCTCGCTTTCGTCGCACTCGCCCAGCTTCGCAGCGCACTCCGACAGCTGAAAGTGTTAAATATTTGCGAAATGCGTTCACAACTCGATGCTGCCATAAATAAATGCAAACACGCGTAAAATGATTTATTACGCAGCCGCCGTGTTGTCAGTCTCAGTCTCAGTTTCAGTCGCATTTGCACTCGTCTGGCGCTTGCCTGAATACGAATTACTGTGGTCGACAGGCCTGATAGACAGAATGACAGACGGACAGATGGACGGACACTTTGCATAGCTAAACCTATATACAGTCAGCTCTCGAATAAAATGGCCCACGAGCTTAGTGCATTAGAAATGTGGAAGCCATTAAGCATTCGACTTTAAGTAGCATTTTTCATAAACATATTCAGGCCAGAAGATGGATTGCTTAGGTATTCAATTATCAATACAAACGTAATTATGTATATGATTGAAAACAATCAGTATTTAATGAATGTCTCAACATTATAATAATGGTATAATATTTGTTAACCTGGGGAGTATTTATTTTACCAATCTACCGATTCTGATGAATCTTTAAATTCTGGTGAGCCACTCAATATTAAATTATCAACACCAAATTGGCTTACGATATAAAAAAAATAGTAATACTTGATTTTTGAGCCACTGTTTTCTATGGCAACTATATGATAAGTTGTACCGCTTTTAATCGAACTAGAACAAGAAAGGAATGCTAAAGTCGAGCAGGCTCAACTCTTAAATACCCTGTACCACCCCACAAAAAAGTAATTTAATTAATTAATTAATTTAATTTAATTAATTAACTAAATTAATTTAATTAATTAACTAAATATTAACTAATTAAATATAAAATATTCCATGCATGCATACATACATTTACATTTAAATCAGAATCGTGCCTTATGCGTGTTTGTGTACTTGTACATATGTATGTATGTGTGCATTGGGCCTGGTTATATGGCTATAACTTTCTTTTCGATCATTCTATCATAATGAAACTTGGTATACGGATATATAATTACTAACCTAATGTGACTACTGTTTAGTTCAAAATTCCGAGAATTACGGGAGTTATAGAAAATTGGTAATAGGGGGGGGGGAGTGGGGGGTTGGATCAGAGAAAATGAACAAACTCGTCCTTTCTCGGTCTCAGGAGAATCTGTATACCAAGTTTGGTTATTCTAGCTCTTATACTTTCGGAGATCCTTGCGTTCATACAGACAGACAGACGGACGGACAGACAGACGGACAGACGGTCAGACGGACAGATGGACAGACGGACATGGCTATATCGACTCGGCTTGTCATGCTGATCAAGAATATATATACTTTGTGGGGTCTACCAAGCCTCCTTCTGTGTGTTCCATGTGCACTCGCACAAAACTAATATACCCTTGTACCCTTTGGGTACAGGGTATAATAATAAATAAGGTTGATATTTGCACTAATCCAATGGCAGCTATATAAAATAATATAGCAATGGTTTCGAATAAAATTGCTCTTGCAAGTTTTCACAATAATTCGACGAATTCCATAAGTCTGTCAATAATACTTGTATAATGATTCTTCAAACTATTTGGTAGCTTTCGTTGTAAAAGCTTCTACTTTTTTTTTTGTACCAATATCAACTATTGTTTCTAGCGAGGCTATAATTGGACAACATTGGCTTTTTTCCATTTTGTAATATTTATGAACATTTTATTATTGTTTAAGATTGCTTAAAAATTTGCCGTTTTGTTTTGCATTTGTACAAGTATAATTGTTTTGGTCGCGTTATAAGAGATTCGACTGTACATAACTATGCATGTGCATATATACTATATAAATGGTATATATGGTGGCTAATATGAAAAGCAAAGTTGTCATTCCATAATTTGAGTGGCATTTGCGCCTTTTTTTGTTTGTGTTTCTGTTTGTGCCGCTTCTATTCAAATGTGTCGCAAACAAAACAAAACAAAAACCGTCGGCCAACGATGGAAGTCGCTGGGCAAGTGGCAGTCGATCTAGTTGGGCTGGCTGGCTGGCTGTCTGGCCGGCTACCTTGTCTGCTGACTGTACAAATTCTTGTTAAATCAAAAATTCATGCCCGAGTATGAAAATGTTGCGTAGCACTGAAGCTTTGCCATTGCAATGGCTTTTGTCGCCAATTCGTGGCTCAAGCTATTGCCTTCAACCGTCCAGATGTGTGTGCTGGCATAAATATTTTAATTTCACGCTAATGGTATTTTTTTTTTTGCAGGCAAGAAATAGTCAAACGATAATAAGTATTGCATTAAGTAGGAAAAAATTGGTACCAATTAACCCATAACCTGCATTTTTTTCAACAAATATTTTTAAAATTAAAAGGCACTACATCCTTTGCAAGCCCAAAAGAAAGCAATTTCTTCTATTATAAGTAAGTATTGTAATTTCAAATGTACAGAGTCTATAGTATAATATTAAAGGAAAATATATATTAAGTTTTGTTTTTATTAACATTTAATTTAATTTTTTTCTTTTTCCCCGAATTTGTAAACAGAATGATATTAAAATTATTATTATTCTATAATCTATTAATTTCAAAACGGAAATAGTAGTAGAAATATATCTAGTTTTCAATATTGAAGCATAATATTTTTTATATTTTTCAATATTTTATAATTGTGTTTCGTGATAATTTAGAGTACATTAACAAAAAATTCTGAAAAACACTCAAATATTCAGATATTCTAAACATCTGCAGAATTTCAACCCAAATATCTTCACAAAAACACTTGAAGATCACCGTGTTTACACAAACAATCAACCTGCAATCCACGTTACTATCTGTTTTTCATATTTTTTAATTAGAACGTTATATTGGTAGCCAACACGAAACTCAAAACAAATATTCGTATTGAATTCATTTCAAGTTGGCCATGGACAGGTAATTTTTTTCACCTGGAATTACTGGGAGGTGGCTATGTTTGCTTTTGGGACACTTGATCGTTGTTGACATAAGTAATGTTTGCTGTTTAAACAACATGGATAGGGGAAGGGGTAGGAGCAGGGGCATTGTATGCGTTCGAGCACGCGTTTGGCTGTAATCGGAGTGGAAGATACGATAACTTTGTATTACTTGTAGACAGACATATAATACATGTGTATGAACATGCATCAGCAAAATGGGACACCGAGAAAGTGCTGTGTTTGTCAAATTGTGACTTTTCTGTGAAACTAATGATATGCTATATACGAGTATACTTGTATGTCTGAAATTTAAAACAAAAAAAACCTGCATGGTTGCGCCAAGAGTGGACAATTTGTTACTAACTGAAAGGCGTTCTTTATACAGAGCTTTCACATACATATGTACTATATATAGAAGGATTTGACAACAAGTTAGAGACGTGCCACCTATAAAAGCCACTTCAAAATAAAATAAATAATAATAATATTCGTATTTAAATTTGCATATGCGAAACACCCTGTGTTGCTGTAACGTGCGGCAAACGCACACAAATTATAAATGGAGACAGCTCAAGGATTGTTACGATAACGACAAAATTATTGACTGACAGTTCTCACGCTCGCCAGCCAACAGCCAAAGTCTACGGCGAACAACCAACAACCGGCCAAGAAGTTAAGAAGGCACGCTATACTTGCAGGTTCAGAAACCAGCCGGCAAATACAGCTTCGACAGCCCCAATGAAACAACAACAAAGCCAACAGCAACTTCACAGAGAGCAAGCCATACTATACACCTTAAATACTTCTTCACACTTTGTCATCATCAGGCAGTTTAGTGGAAGTGGCATTGGCAGCCTTAGCGGAACGTGAAACATGGCAAATCTCTTGGCCTGGCTTGGCTTGGCTTGGCTTTGGAAGCTTTCAACTTGTTACCGAAGTAGAAGGGCCTCGGCAAAAAAAAAAAAAACAGTTTATATGAAAATAAAAAACAAGAACCCCAAAACGCTTTTGACTTGTGAGCATGCCTATTTTTTACTTCTTCCTTTCTTTTGTTTTGTTTTTCGCTGTACATTCGTGTTCTGTTACGCTCCTTGAAATCGTGTTCGAACCCTGTGGGTAACAGTTGGCAGCTCGTCGTCGGTAGATGAAACAAACGGAAGGCGGGCGGAAGATGGCGGAGGATGGCGGGTTTCGCCGGCGAGCGCAGAAGTTGGCAGACAGCGCGGCGGCAACTCTTCAAATGTTATTACCACAACGACCCGACCAGACCAGAGCCGACCAGACAGTGCCTGGCAGTCGCAGACTCACTGGCTGGCTGATTTGGTTGCCTTGTTGGCTGGTTGGTTGGCTCGTTGGCTCGTTGGTTGGTTGGTTTGCTGAATGCGCGTGCGCACATGGGGCAGATGCAGATACAAAGCCCAAAAGTGGCACACAGCAGCAGCAGCGACTGCTCTAGACAATTTGTAGCCGACAGAGCGACCGACGAAACACTTTTAATACCTGGAATATTCAAGTGTTTTCTTGGGATCTACTTGCGCAAGTCTTAAATTCTACCTCGCCCAACAATTGGCCTCGTTGGATCCTTTTTGTGGCGGGACATTTGTATTGTATATATTCCGATCATTTACAAATAATTAATAATTGAAAATAAACTAATTCACTAAAAACATTGGAGTCTCTTTATTATTAAAACGATCTGACTGAGCACAGCTAGTAAGTAAAACATTATTTTTTAAACAATTTACCTGTTCTTTTTTTACTGTTTAGGCAAGTACCTACTTAGGTGAATTTTATCAGAGTCAATTCTTCGCAATTAATGTAGGAGTGCTCAAATCTTATCCAAAGCAAAAGTTCTGAACCTTTCCCCGATACCTATAGGCTATATCTATATCTTTTCTAAGTTGTTGATGCCTATTTATATAAGAAAATCTTTCGAAAAAATGATTATGAATCCTTAAAATAAAGAACAAACATACATATAATGGTAACATTTTTAAGCTGACCCGAAAATATCCTATTTATGTCGTGGGTCTTAGAAAATCCACAAGAACAAATTTGAATTTTTAAAGTCCGTACTAATATGCATAAGCTTTATATATTCAAGACACAACATTTTTTATCTCATTAAATTTGCTTAATATTGTGATTTATCAATCCACAGATAATCTGGCCTGTTCTGGTTTATAAATTTGATTTGGACGTTTTCGAATTGTTCTGCACAATTCTAATACAGTTCAGTACAGTTTGGAAAGTATTGCCTTGAACGTAGTTAGTATTTCGTAAAAATGTTCAATACCTCGAATTTGGAAACAATATAAACGCATTGCGTTAAGTGTGTGTACTGGACATGCTTGAAACTTACCTTTGATTCATGTTGCTGTTCCCGGTTAACGGCTGCTGCGATGGGTCTTGAAATCAACGGAACGAGCACGAACAGTGCGAAAAGGCATTTCACAAACATTTCACACACAAAACACGAACAATTTTGTATCAAATCGCAATTGAAATAATTTGATTTAATTAACCGTATTTGTTGGATTCACAAATGTCAGGCAGGCATATTAAGTTCGACGCCTGAGGTGGAAACTTTTAGAAAAATGTTTTCATTTTATTATTATTTATTTCATTTCCTATACTGCAGCATTCACTTGCGAATTCATGCGTAGATCAGAGGTGCGGTTTGATTTAATTTTCATTTATTTGTTTATGTATTTATTGATTTGTGTGTCGCTATTTTTAGCGTTTTTGGCAAGTGCTACGCTAGTATAGTTTTGTTTATATAACGAATATTTTTGTATATGCCTGAAGTTGCTGCTCTTGCTGAAGGGGCGCAGAAGACATTTAACAGCAGCGGCTGAGAGAACCGTCGAAAACTGAAAAACCAAACCGTGCGTCGCAAAGTTTCAAATACGACTGAGAAAGCCGTTGCCGTTGGCTGGCCCGTTCAATAGGAGTAGTCGGGAATTGTGGCCGAGAGTGGCCCAAAGTGGCCAGCGAGAGCAAGTTGTCGGCTGTATGTATGTAAATATGTGTGAGTGTGTGTGTGTGTATAAATGTATATGTGTGCATGTGTGAGATCGTGGCGTGCAGAGGCGCACAGTTGGGCAGCCGCCACATTGGAAATCGACAATGTCGCCACAGTGTCTGGCGTGTCTGCCACATCTTATCTTTTCTTTACTTTTTCACGAACCGACCAAGCGGCAGCATAAAAACCCAAAGATCATACATACATACAAATACATGTCCATGAGTCTGTGTGTGTGTGTGTGTGCGATGTTAAAAGTGGACATAAAGTGGACGAGGGCTCACCGTCGAGCATTTAATAGTGGTGTGAGTGTGAAATTTATCTTCCTTTGTATATCTCAAGTGCTTGCCTCAGACACACACACACACACACACTCACGATCATTTTGACTTTGTTCGTCAAACAAAAAAATAATGAAAAATAATGCAAAGAAAAAACAATCAAAAACAGAACGTCTGTCTCTGTCTGTCCATTTGTCTGTCTTTCAACCAACTCGAGGGCCAGCTGGCCAAGCAAAAGACAAAGGTTAGAGCGGCGTGAGGCGCAAAGACAGGACTGTGAAGACTTGTATATTGATCATGCTGCTCCTGCCCTGCTTGCACACACATGCACACATACACGAACATTTATACACGTATGTATGTATGGAAGTACATATATAAACGACAGGCAAGTGCAAGGCGAGCGCAGCACGTCTGTGATTTATAGAGCTGCCGGTGTCGGTGCCGCTGTCTGGAACCCCTCTTGCTGGTATTGGTGGCGTGAAACTTGCCAGACAGAGTGACGGCAACGATAATAATGTCCCAAGCCTTCTGCTTCCCGCAACACACTCACACTCACAAACACACACACACACACACACTACACCTTTCAGTCCGCCTCGCCCTTCTCTCCATTAGAGTGACAACACACAGTTCATATTGTTTCGGTTGCCTTGTTTAACGTGTACTTTGTGGTCTCTTTTATGGTTCTGAACACGCTATATGTATTTTAGATAGATAAAGTTCGAGACTGCCAGACAGTATGACGCCAAATTCAATACGAAAACATCGTCGATAACAAAGGTAAACACAAAGACATGACCATGCGGGGGGCGTTCTTGCAGCCAAAGCAAAGAAGAAGCACTTGCAGACTGTCAATAATAAAGAGAACAAAAAAAAGGAACAACAAAAACGAATCGAAATCTCTCCGGCTCGACTCTTGTATACCCTGTACCTACCCCCCTCCGCCCAGCCCCCTTCACAACTGCGTGATATAGTTATCAGTTTTAAATAATTTCTGAACATGATGGCGTATTAAAAATAACACATAAATACAAAATTGTTAATTGTTTTCCCTCAATCGTTTCTATAATATCATATTAAAAGTTAGAATCTAATGAAGAAATTTGGCGCCTCTATGGTAGTTGTGACATGGCATATGTATGCTCATATTTAATCGATTTCAAAGAACCATGTAACATACGTATAACGTTTAGCTTGTTTAGTATACCCATTAACTCTTGGACTACAGGGTATAAAAGGAACAGACCATGCAGACCAGAGGACGCATTGGGTAGCCTGGGAATTATGCTTGGGTTAGGGTTTCAGATTTTATGCAACAGATTATGCATAGCCAAAATATTAACACACCAACAATATATCCGTTTGTATGGTTTCATTATCAATGTGCGGTCTTTGTTTAGCCAAAGCTTTTCAGTAGAAATTTTTATTGCCCACTTGTTTTTATAACTTTATTTCTTCAAAATGCTTACTTCATGACAATAAAGCAATTACATTGCATACCAGGCACTGAAGACTAAAGCAGCGTTCTGCTTTGACCAAGCTAATTTTTTGATGAAATGTTGAATGAAGAGCTAACAAGGAAATCAATTACTATTTTATCTGCACTGAGCCAATTATAGATAGTAAGGCAACAGTCTTTTATCAACTTTTAGATTGTATTGCAAGATGTAGAGCAATGAAAACAAAGGAAATGTTTACCTGTTGTAACGCATTGGAATTTCCCGTTCATATAAAAATTGTAGAATGAACCACGACTTCAAAATCCCCCAACAGACGTGCCTGCAAATATGTGTTCTAAAAAATCCCCAAGCGGGGGTTCCTTGTCATATCAGTAAGAGAGTTGAATTTAAATAAGCTATGCTTCGGCTACTATATAAGACAAGTTGCAATTTTGATCAACTATCGCAGTACTCAACAGTTTCAACAGCTGTACAGACGAGCTTCTAAAGAATATATTGTATTCAATTTCCATTTAAAAAAAAAAAAATGAAATTCGCCGTGTTTCTTGGTGCCTTGGCAGTATTGGCCGCTGTGTGCCTTATTGAAGCCCAACCCGTGTCCGAAGCCGAAGAGCCATGGGAGGTACTTCCCTCACCTCTAGTCGAGGAGGAGCCGCACATTCGCCAGAGACGTGCCACCTGCGATTTGTTGAGCGGCTTTGGCGTCAACCACGGAGCCTGTGCCGCCCACTGTGTGTTGCGGGGAAATCGCGGAGGTTACTGCAACGGCAAAGCTGTTTGTGTATGTCGTCGCCGCTAGACCAACAAAAGTCTATTCCTCTTGTATTTATTTAATTAATTTGAAGCTAATCTATATACATGTACATATTCAAAAATTAAATTGTAACCGAAAACTGGGCAGCAACACGTGTCGTAGATGAGCCTTTGCACAGCAAAATAAAAAGATTTATTCGTATTATACACATATAAAAATGTGCTTATCGCTTTTTCAAATTTTAGGTCAAAGGGGGGCATAAGTGCGTCCAAAATTCAATGGCACGCAGTGACGGGAAGAGTTTATTCAAGGGTATTTGCCGGCTCTGCATTAAAAACTAAATACCTGAACAGTTCGTTGCTCCAATTATTTTTAAAAGCTAGACACATTAATAGGTATGTGGTTTTATTTTCACTGTATGGTCAATTTAGATTACATTCCATTTGGTCAGATTGTAATGATAACCAATTACGTTGCAAAAATATCACTCAAATTCCTTAAATTCTACATATGTATGTACGTCTTATAAATTGAAAAGCAATTAAAAATGCACAAATGTATTACAAACAATAAATATACTGCAAAATATATGAGAAGCAAACACTTTAAGTATGTGAGCGCACAAATTCTTTTTCTTATCAATTAAATGGGCAAACAACAATATGAACTACAACAATAAAAAGAACAAGACAAGTCAACCGCACTGCCCACTGTCTGACTACTACAAGCAGAAACAGAGGAGACTCAATTAACGCCAATTATACGTGAACTCGTAACGTTAAATTATTAATACTTATGCATGGAAATTGATGCAGTATAGGTTTGTCTTAAGTAAACAGCTATTACTTCAAACTTTTATTAGTTTAATATTATTTAAGCAATAAAGCCGGCCGGAACAATTTCTGAAGATTGCTACTAGTAAGTAAGAAATGCAATCTTTTTTATTTAACAGACCGATCGCGTCACGACAAACTGAACTATACGCGAGCAATTCTTTATTTACACTGACACTGCAGTTATCAGCAATGTGAATTTCAAGCTCGTATTCATTACTTCGCTACAATAGACTCACAAGGAGTAACTCGCAGTAGAATTATGTGAAATTATAGTTGTAGAAAATGTGAAAATCTGAAAAGCTTCTGATTTTCTTCCCTTTAATAAATTATATGTGCATTTAAATAATAACAAAACTTGTAGAACTTACAGAATATTAAATGCGCGCGTAGTCCAAAGTCTGGTCACCCCAAACGTGTCTAGTAACGATAGTCTCGGTAGTGTTGAAAAACGACAATGCTCGTAGTGCTGCCATGTCAGTACAATTTTTATTGTTAATATTCGCAGTGTTGCCACTTTAGTTTAGTTTCCCCTGTTGGAAAATTGTTGTGCTGGATGAATGAAAAGACGCTGCAATTAAACATAAACAATAAGTTAAATATAACAAACAGCACATTGCAAACTAAGTCATGATATTTGAGCAAGTGTTTAATTAACGAAAAAGCAAACAAAACTGCGCTGGTGCCAAAGTGAGATACCACCTGACCGCGGCCCCAACGCGGAGCCAAACAAAACACATACACACGCACACACACATATGCGGCGCCGAAGAGGATCACAATAGAAAACAAGTGAGAACGTTACAATCGTGCTCGCACGACACCTGCATACCCTGTTCCCAATGATTATGAAGTGATTTATTTCTGGCTATGACCAATTGTGAGCAGTAACAGTGTTATCTAACAAACTGTCCAAATGCCTAGAATAATAATTTTCTGCCCCACAAAAAAATTAGGATTGTAAAGAAGCGGGGTTTTCAAAAATATTCGAAAAAGTAATACATTTCTTAGTACATATTATATTTAATTTCCAAATCATAGTAAATTATAGAATACATGCATATGTAATGATGGATAAGAAAGAAAGCATCAGCATCCATATATACAATCCAACGAAGGTAAAGAGATTAAAATCGAAACGTAGTGGCTCCATGTTTTTGAATTTTAAAAACTGTCCGCGGTAATCAAAGACAACTTTGTTTCTTGTGTTGCACACTTTGCCAGTAATCCGATATACTCGTTGGGTACAGGGTATGGAGAGTGGCAGAGCGGCGCAATTTCTGTGGCGCTCAACAACACAGTCGAGTCAGTGTTGTTCCGTCTGCAGCAGTGTTAAGTTCAAATAATCATTTGGAGTTAACTGCGCGTCAAATTGCCGTTGCCGTTGTTCGTGACTTTTGTTTTAAAAAAAAAATTGCATAAATAAAAATAGCAACTCGGCGAAAATTTTAACAAGTGTGTGCGCTGGTGTGCTTTGTGCTCTGAAAGAGAATTTCGTTATAAAAATTTTTGTCGTGTTTTACTGTGCATTTAAAAAATTCCCTGAAAACCCGAAACGGAATATTCATTTAGTGTTGTGCCAAAAAGAAATTCTTGCTCAGTGCATATACATATAGAGGAAAATCACTAAAAATTAGTTGCTGTCGCTATTGTGGTTGTGTATTTAATGTCCGAAAATAAAGGCATCATGCTCGCCAAATCTGTGCAAAAACACGCTGGACGTGCCAAGGAGAAGGTGAGTGTACACGATAACAATTTAAGTAATAATAAGTGTCCCAATTTCGACGAAATCTGTGAACGTGCATTTTTTATGATGCAGCTGTGCAAGACGAAACGCCCAGCTACAGCCACAGCCGAAGGTTAAAGCACTCGGCAGGCCCCCATCCACCCAACACCACCACCACCACCCACACAATACCAACTATGTAATCTGCGTTACTATTCAATGCCTCTGTGCCCTATTTTCCAAGCAACAAGCGCTCGCACTTACATACACCCCATTCCATTTGAGGGCGTTATTTAGAGATTTACAGATGGTGTATTCTGGCGTATGCCTTACCCCAAGGTATCAGCATGCCTCCGTTACGTTTAATGCGTGCAATTCAAATCGCACTTGGCTGTTACCAGCTCTCCACTTCTCCCCATTTACATAACCCAACCGCAACTTTTCCAACAACATTCACAAAACTGTGAGTCGTCGGTTTAGACCAGTTGCTTGAAGGGAAGTGAGATGAGAAGAGCACAAGCCACACTCGAACCAAGCTCAAATTGAATTAGAAAACATTGAAATCTGATTGACACCAGGAAACCAAAAACCCAAGAAGAGCAAAGTGAGCCGAACCAACAAATTGAAAAAGAAAGTACCTCAAGTCATTGTTCAGGGGCGGAAAAAAAGTTACCCACAGAGTTGGCCTAATAAAGTCATCTATTAACGAGGCCACAAATCATAGCAAGAAGTTAACGCTCACACGCAGATCAGACGCGCCCGAAACACTTGTTGTCACAGAAGTGCCTACCATTGGTGCTCTCTTCCTTTGATCAAGTTTCCATTTCCACCGCTTCTTTTGATTGTTTTTCGTGTTTTTTTTTCGAATTTTTGTGTTTTTGTTTTGTACATCTTTCATTCAAAAGTTCAGGCTTGAGTTCGGTGCGTACAAGTGAAAGTTTGCTGTTTGCCGTTTGCTTCACATTTCCCCGGCCATTTCGACGCACCGGTGCAGCAGCCCAAAGGTGTTGAAAATCACTGGGCGGGGCAAGGGAAGTGCAACTGAGGCGACATTAACGAATGTCAATGAAAAGTGTAAAAGTTGTTCGAGTTGCTGCAACTTTGACGTTGCCGCCGCACTCGTCGTTGCCCAGTTGGATGACCCACTCGACGACTGCAGCACTCCAAAAACAACAACAACAACTACAATGTGTGTGCGTCTTCCCAAACGAGTTTGGATAGTTGGACGAGCTGAAGCAAAAGCTAAAGATGAGCTGAAGCTGGAGCTGCCTCTGCCACATTCCAAGCCCAGAAATGCTGTAATCTAGCCGAGAGATGCTTCTTTGCGAAGCTGTTTTTGTTTTTATTGTTGGCTTTGTTGCGGCTCTTTGGTTTTGTATTGATTTGGCTGAGTGTTTGGGCTATTCCCCTTTGTATAGTATGACTGCTTGTGTGTGTTTGTGGCGAAGTCTTGGCATTTACAGTTGATTTTTAAAGTTCGTTGGTATTTCTGCTTCCCAAAACTTTCAATGCGAACGCTCGTGTTGGTCATTAAACTTGAAAAATTCCTTTGCTTTGTAAATGTCGCGTGTTATTTTTAAAGTTCACACCGAGTTTGGAGCATGGCCAACATTTAGATATAAACATACATGCTTCTATAGATACAGATGCCGGAACTGAAATATACATACGTACATCTCTCTATAAGACGCAATCACATTTTAAACTACATCGGTTAATTAACATTGTTTTCCCTGAACTCAGTCGCAAGCCCAGTACATCGAAAATTTTCGTAGAGATTTATTTTTAAAAACGACTTCTGGGCTCTCATGACATATTTTTCGTTTGATTTTAGCCTAACATGTGCCAGCTTTGTGCTCATTTTCTTCATATATGAATGTACAATCATCTGTACATATCTTCATAAATATTTTGAGCATAATTTTGGGACGCTGGCGCGAAAAGCTGCCACAGCCAAAGCAGGGAAAACTGCTAAGCCGCAATCGGTTTGTGGAAATCACACGCATGCGAGCAATATGTAGAAATAATGAATATTACCTACAAACAGATACATATAGCAGGTACATATAGATACATACATTCATATGTATATTTGTCAGGGCAGAACCCCACACAGGCAGGCAACATACATATTTTGGGTAGCTAACGAACTCGTGTCCGATTTTTGTTGCGATCGGCATGAAAATGTCGCCGAGTCGAGTCAAGTCGCTTGGTAGTCAATCTTTAAATAGACGCACTTTACTTTTTCTATGCTATTTATTATTTCATTAGCTTTTCAATGTATAACTCTGTGGTCTCTCTTCCCAGCCGTGGTAAGCTTTAAAGAACTGAATTCTTTTTGTTGTTTGCAAAGAAAACGCAAAACTTTTCTATAAGCAATTTTCTGCTTTTGCAAATTTCGCCCGCACTGTCGCGACTTTTATTTTTAGCATGTGGCAACAGCTGCCAAAAATGCTTTTCACTCCGTTGAGGTTTTTCTCTTGAAGCCCCCAGTGATGCCAACGGCGATATTTCTGTCTCTGTCTTGACATCTTTCTTGCATTGTCTCTCTGTCGGCCACTTATCAAAGTTTGGCAGTATATATAGCGTCGATTGACATTTTATTGGCAACTCTTTTTTTTAGAAACTCAAACTTGCCTGTTGCATATTGAACTTCTTGTTGTCGCTTTGATTTAGATTCGTATTTCGGTATTTTAAAAATTGATTTCACTGCTGCCTATTTATTGCTAAGCGATACGTAAACTGCATGGGGTTATCTATTAATAGCCATGACAATAAAATGCACGCGATCATCTAATCTACTCGCATTCGTTTTTACACAACCTATAGCCACATTCTATCGGGCTCGTAATTGTACCCCAAACAACATCAGGAAAATGATTATTTCTTTACTGTTAGCAACAGTGAAGTAAAGTAAAGCCAAAAGAAAGCGAATAGTTTCCGACCCATAAACGTTTTTGCTGTTCCCACAGCTATTTACACGCCCCGAAATGAACAAAAAGCCAATTGGCGAATGCATTGAAAAGGCATTAGCGAAATTAAGTACATTGTAGTGCACACTCTGAAATGTGTCAAAAAGTTCCAGGTAGTCGACCATAACTGCTGAATGTAAATATTATCTTAATTTTGTTACCATTGCTGAAAGAAATGCTTATAGCATTCTCATCTGTAAAATTGTTCGCCTTTCTCAATATTTCTACCTGAAGTACTAGAAACTTGATAGCTTAAGGAAAATTTGACAAACCTTTAGGCCTTTTTCTGCAGAAACATTCAAAATAGTTATGCTCAACTACTTGTAAGATATAATTTAGAAAATCGTATTGTTTGCGTGTTATTCTTTTCATAACTCCTTATGTAATTTACTTGACAATTTTTATACAAATATTAACTATGTTTTCGTGTATTTTATGCTCTTACTATAAATCTATATGGTTTAAATATTTCTTAATAGTTTTAAAGTTGATGAGCTTCATTAGCTGTGTTAAATATCAAATATTAATACTGTATTCAAAGAAGTTAGAATTCGAGAACAGATAAAGTAATAATCTATAACTATTTTCGTGGAAGGCAGTTACTTTCGCATCGCAGAAATTAGCGATTCTGTTGAACTCTTTTGTAGTTCAGAGTTTTATCCCATATTTACCCAACTATTATAAACTTGTCTTCCAAAAACACATTATTAGAAGTCGGCCATTTAAAATAAGCTCTTCTTTTCATGCGGAAAAAACATCAACAGTAAAAACATATAGCAGTCGGCCGATCTATCGCGCCATTTAAAGGGAGTTTGTTTAAACTCTTTTTCATTTTTTATTGTGGATGAGGCTTAGTCAACAAACAATCAAAGCACTTGTTTGGGCTCCAAATGCTTACCGACCGACGTGCCATGTTTTTGTTGCGGCCGCCGGTCTGACGGTGTGGCTGTGTAATAAAAAATTATACGGGGCGTAATCCGAGACCAAGAGATTCACAATTAGCCAGCCAGAATAATAAATACTGTGCGGACATAGATAGATAACAAAAATAATTGCAGCTTCGAATATATGTATGTATAAAGCTCGGTAAATTTGAAAGAGGAATAGCTGACTTGCAATCGGTGTATTTTTATTGATTGGAACTGTGAGGGAAGACACAAATTAAGTCGAATCACAATGCGTGGGCGTATACGAGTGGCCAATAGCTGGCTTACCATGAAGCCAAATGAATTTTGAAGCGCTGCGACGGGCATTGCCATTGATACAGAGAAACACCCACTCCCACTACCACTCGCATTCACATTGACATTCAGACTCGCACTCGCATTCGCACTCGTATTCATATTTGTATTCGCACTCAACTTGCTGATAAATAACAAATGGCTTTTTATTATGCTTGCTTGCTTTTTATTATGTTTATTATAAAATTCAATTATTGAAATTGTTAACAAGTGACGACTGAAAATCAACGCAACAACAACAACAATAAAATTCTCACACACACAAAAAGTGACTTTTGTTTGGCGTTTTAAATATGCTTGTCATTTTTGTACATTGCATAACAATTGAATTACGCTCAGACATTTATCGGTCTATCCACTTGATTCATTAATGCACAATTGTGCAGCGTCTGTGTCGTTGGTAGAGAGATAAATATACATATTTAGACTTTGTAGATTCAAGTGCAATTGCTGAATTGCTGGAAAATGCCTTTATTGTGGGACTCTAGTGAGCTGTTGGCTGAACTTCAAGTGCACATCGCTGCGCATAAAATGTAACTTAAAAAAGCTTCAACAGGGCAAGAGACTAACGAGTGCTTACTGGAAAAAGTAAGAAATACTTCCACACACACAAACATAGTTTGAAAAACGTGTATTATAAACAGAAAACCAAAAAATAAATAAAATAAAAGTACAAACAACACGAGCACAAAACTAACCCGGGCAAGGTCAATTACTTTGCGCTCACTCACAGGTCGTATACGTAATTTAGTTTATTGGCTCTGCTCACTCACACACACATACACACATGCCAAGC